CTCCACGGACTAAGCGAGCAAACCAACGAACCCACAAAGATTATCCACAGGTAAAGATGGCCCTGATGGCCCTGATGTTGCCAGGAGAGTAATCGCTGGTGCAATTTGAAGGAACACAAGTGCAGAAGTACGAAACGAAAGTGTTCCGACCAGGGCCGGATTTGGGGTTAATGAGGCCCTAAGCTACTGAAGGTAATGGGGCCCTCTATATGTCCATCTGTCCTTTGTCAACAACAAATTGTCGCTGTTTCTTGTGTTGAATATATGCTATATGGTAATTTATGGACCTAATAGGTATCTAAAGCCATTTGCCATAACAAAATATGTATTTTATCAAAGTAATTGATACAGAAATGAGCAAACCAGTGATATTTTAGGGAGCAGGCTAGCAGGCAGGGCCCATTACTTACATCACAGAAGCCTAACCAACACAAAACACTGTTGCTGTATGTAGGTTTTATTTTATTTGTTTTTTATGTTATATTTTGGAAATGTACATCCAGGTGTTTTTTCCTTTAATTTTTTTTGGGGGGCCCAAGAGAGTGGGGCCGTAAGCTATAGCTTGTTTACCTTATACATAAATCTGGCACTGGTTCCGACTGCAAATGCGATGGCTACTGTACCAGCTGCCTGTGCTTTGTGAGCAAATGTGCGTCTCAAAGAGTGAGCTGTAGAATTCAGAAGCATCCGAGGCGCCTGCAGAGCCCAAGACAAATGTAGGAAGCTAGAAATCCCAAAGGGTCTTTCTCTCTGTCTCTCTCTCTGTGTGTGTCAAATTTTATCAACTCAAAGCACTGAACTACACAATGCAAAAGTTAACGGTACGTGCTGCCTATAAATATATACAGAGGAGAAAGAGAAAAGGAGGGTTGTCTGAGGAGGTCAGTGGAAATTATTCCAAGCTATTAAGGCCCAGGAAAACCAATGTTTCAAGGAAGGATTTCACCCTGGAACATTTTTGTGGATCCCATAGAGCAGCTCCTCCAAGTGTCTGTATTTTCCAGGGACAGTCCTGGATTTACAGAAGCTGCCCCGGTTTCTGATTCGATCCAAGAATGTCCCTCTTTTCCTTAGGATGTCCCTATTTTCATCAGAGAAATGTTGGAGGGTATGGAGTTATGCAACCCTCAAACCAGGGAGATAAGTAACTATACAATCTTTAGAAGAGATCTGAAGGCAGCTCTGTATAGGAAAAGTTTTTTTAAAAATGTTTAATGTTTTCTTATGTTTTTATATATGTTGGAAAGTGCTCAGAGTAGCTGGGCAACCCAGTCAGATGGGTGCAGTATAAATAATAAAATTGTTGTTGTTGTTGAATAGGACTTCCCTATTTTCATCAGAGAAATGTTGGAGGCTATGAGCAGTGGCGTAGCGTGGGGGGTGCAGGGGGACTGGCCGCACCGGGCGCAACATCGGGGGGGGCGCGCTCGCACTCGCAGCTCTCTGCCCCTACCTGGCTCACTCACTCTCTCTCACTGCAGTGCTGGCTGTGCGAATCCGATCCGAGCCGCTGGCTTGCCGCCCACTATGAAGGGGGTGGGTGCCAGGCGTGCGGTGCGGAGAGAGAGCGAGGGACTATCTGGGGGAGGGACAGTGCAGCGGCCGCCCAGCGCAGCGCTGAGCGCGGGAGAGAACCACACCAGACCAGACCAGGCAGCAGCAAGAAGAAGCTGGCAGCGGCGGCAGGTTAGGGGTTAGGGGGCGCAAATTGCTTGCCTTGCCCCGGGTTAGGGGGCGCAAATTACTTGCCTTGCCCCGGGTTAGGGGGCGCAAATTACTTGCCTTGTCCCAGGTGCTGACAACCCACGCTACGCCGCTGGGTATGAGTCAAATAGGTATTCTAGGCTGGGCTTCATATGCAGGCAAAAAGCAACCGTTCAAACCATTCAGCGTGAAATGAAAGCAAGACTACATATGCTCCCCAGCTAATTAAATTAAAGTTTGCTATAAATTGGTTGAAATCCAAAAGCCACAGCAGGGCAACACCTTTATTAGGACCAGCGAAAATGTTGCAACGTTAGTTAGTCCTATTAAAAGTATGACTGCACTGTGGCTTTTGGGTTTTTTCCAGCAGATCAAGACGATGACCTGCTATTTTTGGTAACATTTACCCTTCAAAGTGCATTGGTATTCCTGCTATTCCACCTCGGAAAAGAAACATTTGCAGCACAACTCTACACATGTCTGCTCAAAATTAAGTCCCATTAAGATAAATAGGGCTTACTCCCAAGGTGGTGGGGAGGCTATAGGATTGCAGCTCAACAGCTAACCCCTCATCAACACCACTGGGAATTGGGGTTGGAGGAGACACTGGAGATTTCCCTCTGCCACAGTCTGCCAGGTTCTGTTACCATGGGGCTGCCTAAGAGGGCATGATCTGAGAGCCAGTATTTGTCAATATGAAGACTGATGAAATCGGTCGACTTCTAGACAAAGTTTCCTTTGGTATGTCTTCTTTCTTTCCGGGTGCTTTAATATCTTTGCTGTCATATTTTCTCACTGTTATCAGCAAGTGTGAGAGTCAGAACTTTTTTTGATTGTTTGTTTCATGAAAGCTCAAGTTCTCCGCGTTCTAAGAGTGCTTGAAAGAACAGCTCAAAATTGCTCCAGGAACCACTTTCAGGAACCCCTGCATCATTCTGGTCAGGTCAATCTGCATCAGAGTGCAGGATCAGAGCGCAGGATCAGGACCGGCACTTCTGAAATAGTCAAGGTGGTGCCATTCTTTGAAAGCGACATATTAAGGTGGTATTTAATGATCACCACATCCGACTTACAATCAAAACAGGAGAGAGTTTTTCCACTTCTCATTCATTTTTAAAGGACTATTCAAACACCCTTTTATCTCCACTAAACAGCCTGCCATGTATTTGAAGACATTTTATTTTTTGTTTCTACAGACATCCAGGGGGGCAAAAAGAGAGGAAAGAAGAAGAAAAGAAGAAGAAAAGAGAGAGGCGAGTATTTCAAAATAGTGATATATGAAGATGCAAAGGCTTATATGGCAAGCGAAGGACTTCAAACTGACTCAGACACATTCATCTTCCCAAGAAGAATTAGACTCAGTGTGATTCATTTTAATAGCAGAAGAAGAAGAAATAATACTACCGTGCAGTCTAAGTTCCTAACCTTTGATGGTAGAATAGGGAGGAAAAAATAACTTTCTTCCCCCATGTTGCTGAAGTCTGCCTACCCATCTGTTATGTCCAGCTCATCAATTAAGGTGAACCTGCGAACTTGAGGTGTTTAATAAAGACAGCAATCCATTTAAATGTGGGGAACCGCCTGCAGCTTTATTTTAACTGAGAATTCAGTTCTTAGCCCTGTGTACTCAGTGTGAAGTTTTTCTCATGTTAGGAATGAAGTCTCCTCTCACAGGCAAAATAATTCCAGATGCACTGTTACTACCTGGGCAAGAGCAGAACAGGGAGAGGGCGGAGGAGGGACTAGATGCCATTTTTGGATGACTCAAAGGAAAGAAAGCCCAAGTTTTTAACAAGGGGTGTACAAAGGGCACTGCAATGGATGGCAAGTCACAGATAAGAGAGGTCTTAGGTGTCAGGTAGCAAGAAGATGGGCACTACGGTGAAGCAGAAGTTTTCACCAGGTATAAATCATCATCTGAAGAGATGTGACTGGTCGCAAAATTAAATTCCTGAATCATAAGATGAGAAGGATGCAGAAACTGAATATGAGGTGTGTGTGTGTTTCAGTATCCAAGTCTTTTTACAGAATGCAGAAACAATGGCTGGGAGCACTTGGAAGCCTATGTTTAGAGCTTACAGCCCAGTGATCAAATATGCTGCTGGGACAAGCCCTATTGAACGGGAATAGGATATAGGTACTCTCTAGATCAGGGTTTCCCAAACTTGGGTCTCCAGCTGTTTTTGGACTACAACTCCCACCATCCCTAGCTATCAGGACCAGTGGTCAAGGATGATGGGAAATGTAGTCCAAAAGATGCTGAAGACCCAAGTTTGGGGGGAAACTGCCTAGGAAGTAACCAAAAACCCTCTACAGTAAGAGGATCTGTGGTTCTCTGGATTTTACCATTAATGCACATTGTGAGAAAGTCAAAAGCTCCTCTTGACTTCAGAAGTCACTCTCTTCAGCGGGGACTGTAAGGTAAGTGTTGTTTAGCTTCTTACTGAAGTGGGACACCTGGTCTATATACCTTTTTGACAAGGCCACCTTTGTGTTAACGAGCATTAATGGGGCTGAGTGACTCAAGAGAGCCACCATTTTTCTCCCAGCACTGCCTCAAACCTTGCCCTGAAGACCTCTTATATGATGTGATACACGTTGATTTAATCTATGCCTAGGGTCTAGTTATTTCTCCTTTGACGGTTACCCACACGGACTTTTCAAGGCTTCATTTGCTGTGACTCGAGTCTGTCCAAAACGACATGTTTCGTCCTAGTCCCTCTGCTTTCAGATACATAGGAGGTGACTGTAGATACTTACGTTAGCTACTATTAGTAAGATAATATCAAAACATTTAAACTGAGAGGAAAAAGAACCCTGAATATGCTCAAAGACACTCTCTTCTTTGCCTGAAGGCAAAATGAGCCATGTTTTCCTGGCATCCAGGGTCTCAAGGCTAAATTAAGGTTCATTGTAAAACCGCTTGAGATTTCAACTTTCATTACTTCAACTTTTCAAACTTAGAATGTTTTAAACTCCCAAAATTGCCTGGATTCCTGTGGTTTGAGATTCAGTGATCTTAGGACAGCTGTCTAAAGATGATAACTTACTTAATATTTCTTCACTCCCAGTTAATTAACCCACCACTCAATTCAACCCCTTGCATTTTCCTTTTAGTCTCTCTTCCCTCCCCCTTCCCACGCAACAAAGTTCTTAAAATGAAACTCCTAGGAATGTATTTCTTTGGATTTAGGATGGTTTGGATGGTTGAAACTTGCTCTAATAAGCAAAAAAAAAAAAAAAAGAAGACCCTTAGATTAAAAAACCAGAACAAAAAAAGGGGGAAAGATTATATTAATTTGAAAAATATAAAAATTTTAATAAAGGCTACATCTCTTAATTACAATAATTATTGTACCAAGTAATTTTTTTTCTTTAAATGAAACTCTTTATAATGCATAATTTACAGTATAAGTAGAACAAATGTCATGGCAAAAGTCATAAAGTACAAGGACTTGTAGTAAAAAGGCATAAAATATATTATACATAAACCCCTTTACACAAAGAAGGGAAGAGTTTGGACCCTGAACACAGGGCGTAACATGGCATATTAACACCATGTAGGCACAGGTACTGTACTGATTGAAGTGTTTTTCTTAAAAACACACACTAGAGATAGTGTATTAATAGCGTTTTCGCATCACATTCTTTCCTACACTATATACAGACGTATTATACAAAAGAAATGTAACGTTGGCATACAATGCACCAATTAAAAACAAAACACAATAGAAATAAAATGTGTTTTCAGGGTGGGCAGGTGGGGCTTTAAAAAAAAAACTTTTTTTGCCACAATACACACAATCCAATTAGAGGATGTATTTGATAGTTTGAACAACGACACACCCAAAGCGAGAGACTCTGTTGCCCTTATATAGCTCAGTGGAATCTTTTATTATGGGGAGCTGTAATTTCATCATCTAGAAAGTTGGAAGCAAGCTACGCAGGATTGAACAGGGAACTAGCTTCCATTTGCTATAATGGAATGGGATGGGGCACCATACATTTTGACGGTTTGGCCTATTAAATACAGTTTACCATACAGAAAAGTACCACTACCGAAAATGTGACTACATTTCTTCAAATAAATAAATAAAAAAGCATCACTGATTTCGTTGAAAAACATTCTATTCAGGGTTTCCCAAACTTAGGCCTCCAGCTGTTTTTGGAATACAACTCCCATCACCCCTAGCAGGAGCTGTGGTCAGGGATGATGGGAACTGTAGTCCAAAAACATCTGGAGACCAAAGTTGTGTGTGTGATCTGGCTAAAGTGGTGTTTATGTGAACTGGATGGTTTCATGTACCGCTTTTCATAAAACTGGACTATATGAACCATTTGGGTCTGCATTAACTTCATAATTCTGCACTTGGGGACTTGCTATAGGATGCTTTGCTGAAGACACTGGAAGCAATGCAATGCATTGCATACTGCAATGCTACAAAAATACAGACAACTGTATATTCTTACCACAGAAGCTGACTGATAAGACCCATATATTGTTATTACCCCCTGTAGCTGTTATATTTATCCCATGAGAACACTGCTAGGTCTGGTGCAGAGCCAACATTCTCAATCTGCCCGTGGTTAGGGGGATCAGGAACACCTATGGGCTTGTGTATTCATTCTTCATCCTCTCCTGCAGTGAATTTTCCCCAAGCTCACCAAGGTGCAGCATTCCTTTGGACCATCATTAACAGTAGCCACGGTGAGCTTCAAACCAAACTTCACAACCATGACTGGAAGCAGGCTTGAGCAAACTCTTCTAAACATAATCACAGCTAGCATTACCATCAGGGCAGATATAACCCTGCACTGTGGTTACGTGGGTGGCGCTGTGGTCTAAACCTCTGAGCCTCTTAGGCATGCCAATCGGAAGGTCGGCGGTTCAAATCCCCACGATGGGGTGAGCTCCCGTTGCTCTGTCCCAGCTTCTCCCAACCTAGAAGTTCGAAAGCATACCAGCGCAAGTAGATAAATAGGTACCACTGTGGCGTTTCCGTGTGCTCTGGCTTCCGTCAGTGTTTCGCTGCGCCAGAAGCGGTTTAGTCATGCTGGCCACATGACTCAGAAAGCTGTCTGCAGATGAGTGCCACACCCCGTAGTTGTCTTTGACTGGACTTCACCATTGAGGGGTCCTTTACCTTTTACCTTTACTGTGGTTATACCCAAAAGAGGATTCGTGGGGAAAGGGAGCAGGACAAAGAATGTAACAGTCTATGGGGTGATCCTGATCTCCTAACCACTGATAGGCAACCAAGTATTATACATCTGAACCAGACCTAACAAACAGAGCAGCATTGATTCAAAATCTACCAATTTTTAGAAGAGCAAATGTGTACGACAATATTCCCTCTTCCTCCCCTTTTCCTCCAAGAAAAAAACAGCTGGAGGAATAATGCTGGACAGAACATGATTCCAGCTTGTTTTCTAAGGTGGCAGAAATGAATTCACTTTTCTTTTCTTTTTAATAAAAGACAAAATTCTAATGATTTAGATAGTGGAAACAAAGTAAATAATAAAATATAAAACCACCCCTTTTTCCATATCACATCTTCTCTTCTCTCCATTGTTTAAAGCAGCATGTCCATAAACTGGACTTAAGGGAAAAAACCAGACTGTTCAATAAATATCAATAAGGATTACTGTAAGGTAAGCTATACACAGTTTCTCTTAGTCCATAAGGTTTGGGATCCCCAGGAAGCCATATATTATATATGGAAGTCTTTCAAAACATGGTCTGCATCTTCAATAACCCAGAGTGGTCATGTTTTCAATAAATAGTTCGGGGTTGTTAACATCCTTGTGCCCAGCTCAACAGACACCTTTATTAAAAAAATAATAATGTAAGGCTGATTTGGCGAAGTCTTCATAGACCTTAGTTTGTCTGTGTTGCTTTTTCTTCATTGGTTCCAACCTTCCTTCAAAAGCTTTGTTCGGTGGTTTTGTCCAAAAGCCAGCGTCTTTTAGCTTATTGTCTCCTTAAAACACACTCACACAGACAATGCCAGCCAGTCAATCTGTCAGTCAATCCTCTCCACTTTCCCAAGGACTCTTCCTTCGTACATTGGCAGAACAGTGTCGTCGTCCCAGATTTCTTCGAAAACTGCACCGCAGTCAAACTCTTTGCTTGCCTTCTTGAAGTAATACCTGGAATCAATAAGATCAACAGATGCAAAATAAATGAAGAGCATTTTGGAATTGCTGTTTTTGAAAGTGTCTGTAGCAAGCACCCACCCAACATTCCATATCCAGAATGTCGTAGGAGCCCAACACCCCTTGCCCAAACACCAAACTCTTATGTTTCCATGGGTAGCTATGGCAGAATTGAGACAAAGAACACTGAACATAACATTAGAAGACCCAATGGCCCATCTAAGTCCAGTATCCTGCTCTCACAGTGGCCAACCAGGTTCCTGTGGGAAGCCCACAAGCAGATTAAAAGCAACCTGCTGGATCAAACCAAAAATGAAGTTCAGCAGCCATAATCTGCTGCCTCCCAATTGCTTCCAGCATCCTCTTGCAAGGTAGGAGATCAACAGAACACCCAACTGGCCCGAGCAACTAATATTCAACAGCACAGTGCCTCTGAATTTGGCTACCACCATTGATCAATGCTACACTCTGTGAATTCCACCCCTTACAAGCCCCTTTTATAAAGGCATCTAAGGCAAGTGGCCATTAGCTCATCTTGTGATCAAATTGTGATCCATTTGCCACAGGCTGGCATAACCTGACTGCTCTTTGACATAGTACATAAATATGATCCTCAACGCACTCTTCCCCAAAAGCCTTGCTGCATCTTATAATGTTGTTAACTCTCAGGCACCACCTTAGTTATCCATATGATTCACCCTAAAGGCACACATTACGGTTACAAAAGAGATGCTACTGAAAAACAGCCTGGGCATTGCAAGTGAACCTTGCCCTGGTTGTCAACGTAAGGACACATGGATTTCCATCATCACTGTGTGAAACTCCATAGTCCCATTTTGAGCTGCTGACTGTTGTTGAAGTGGTGCATGTCTCGAAATGTGGTGGAAGAGACCCACATGGCAAGTTATGTTACATCTAAGGGAGAAGGATTTTGACAGGCCCCATTGGTATGCAGAATTGGCTTAGCTTGCAGAATGTAACTTTTATCTATGGTTTGGGGGCAGGAAATGGGAGCTTGTGACCCTCCAGATATTGTTGGAGTACAACTGCCATAATCTCTGACTATTGGCTGGGGCTGATGGGAACTGGAGTCTAGTTGCCTGCCTCTGGTTTAGGGACAGGAGGGGTGCCCCCCCCACACACACACAGAGGGAGAGAGAGTTCAGACTGGACCTCAGCATTGTAATTGAGCCCGAGCTGTTTTGAGAGAGTGGGGCTGACAGGGAAATTATCGCAACTCAGAATTCTGCCTTATGTTCCTGTCGTAAGATATACAGATGCTGGACTGGAAGGAGTTTGTGTCTTCACAGAAGCTGCTGAGACTATTTCAAGCAGAGTTATCCACTGGCTAGGTTTTAAACCTCCACGCTTTTCAAAAAACCCTACTGTCATTCTCTGTGCCAAAGTTTTGCGACAGACCACTTTAAAACGACACTGCATTATCAGCACCCTTGCTGTATTGGTATTGGTATTATTATTATTGTTGTTGTTATTGTTGCTATTATTATTATTTCAGCAATCCCTCACAGAATGTATTATTTAGTTGTATACCTTTGCTTTTAAAAGTTTTATTTATCTGTGGGTAAGAGACAGGCTTTGGGATTTCTGCTGTGTTTTATTGTGTTAATTTTGCTATGTACAGTAAACCCGCAAACTTAGGTGCATTTCACTTGTGTGCATTCAGCTTTACGTACTTGGCAGAAATGTTAAAAAAATTAAAAAGGGGGCAGAAAGGAGGTGGGTGTCCCATCCAGGAAAAAAGACTTTGGAAATCCCACCTGCCATTGTACCCAAAGCGTTTTGACTATACATAATTATGGCTTTAGGTGTGATCCCCAGAACATAACCCTCTTGTAAGTCGTGGGCACAACTTGTGCATAATGTGATTAAGTGCTCTATAAATCTTCGTGTACAAGCAGATGGGAAAGAGGAGTCAGTGAACTGAAGCCCTGAAATGGGAGGTAAATCTGCTTTACTGGAACTTGGAAGTGCAAATTCAATTCTGACCACAACAAGGTGATTGCAGCACTATGGTTCTCAAATATCAGGAAATGTCTGGCTTACCCCCTCAGTTTATATCAGGGGTAGGCAACCTAAGGCCCGGGGGCCAGATCCGGCTCAATCGCCTTCTTAATCTGGCCCGCGAATGGTCTGAGAATCAGCGTGGTTTTTACATGAGTAGAATGTGCCCTTTTATTTAAAATGCATCTCTGGGTTATTTGTGGGACATAGGAATTCGTTCATTTATTTTTTTCAAAATATAGTCTGGCCCACCGCATGGTCTGAGGGACGGTGGACCGGCCCATGGCTGAAAAAGGTTGCTGACCCCCGGGTTTATATCAACGCCCACAATCTTGTCTTTTATCATTTACGAGACTAGCACCACTGATTTTGCTCAACCAAATATATTTTGACAAAGCGGTCTCCATGAGAACAAGCCCTACAGCAGTGAACTGCCCCCCCCCCCAAACCAAGCTAAGCTTCCACAGCTCAAAGATCTACACAATTTAGACTAGCGATATCACACTCTGGACATATAAATGCAACTTAAGAGGAAAGCTCTTGGAAAAACAAAAGAAGGGCAAAAAAGCAAATTGAATGTACCAACTAATATATTATTATTTTTTTTTAAAGAGGAGGCACCTTTGGGACAGTTCTTTAAACCACTTACAGATATTGGCAGCAGGAATGCAAAGTTTCTCCCTGGCCAAGCATCTGATTTAAGGAAATAAAAATCCAAAACAAAACCCATTATTTCCGATTTAGCCGTATGACTAAACTTTATACAGCGCCACTCCTACAATTTTGAGACTTCTACTAAAGTGGATTTTGAAGAAGAGAGAAAAGTTACACATTGTAAAACCGGGAATATTTCATTTGAGGCCTTTGTTGTTTTTTCCTTTCTCTTTTTTAGTAAAAGCTCCCAACTGCTGACACATTCCAAAGAAGAACATCCAAAAACAGAACAACACTTTAAAAAAGGACAGAGATTGCTACATCTCTGCTTCGATATTTCCGAGTGGCCCCCTGCGTAATGAGCAATCTTGGCTTAGATTGCAATATTTGACACAGAAAGGTCAAGCAGGAGCGTCCCGCTTTCCCTTTCTTCAGGCTTGGGATCGTTAGATCACGAAGCCAGTGCTCATGCAGACAAAAAAAATTAAAAAATTGTGCCCCTTCCCCTCTTGTGTCAAACAGTAAGGACCCCTCTATTATCCTGAATTAGACCGTTCAGCTTCTTGATTAAAGGTTCCTTTTATCCCCCCCTTCCAGCATTCTTCCTTCTCAGGCTGCTTAATTGCATATGCACAAAATGAAGGCCTTCCATTCAGAGGGTTAGCATTTAGGGAGCCTGCTTGTCTACTACCACACACACACACACACACACACACCCCTCCTTGCACCCAGGCTGATCTCTCACCCTCTTCCAAGGAGCTCTCTTTTGCCATGCAGTCACAGGCAAGGAAATATTCTTATCCGATCAGCCTTAAGGGGAAAACACCAACAAGCACCACCCAAGTTTTAAAGTAACTAAGTATATTCAAAGGAAAGGCAGCTTAGTCACATTTTCTACCATATTTTTTTTTTTAAAGTATCCCCTCAACTTTGAATTCCCTCTTATAAAGCAACTTTCTTTGGCTAGGGATCTACTCGAGCACCCGTTTTTGCTTTGATATTTAAGACCTCTGAACATACCAACAAGAGACTGGTTTATCTGACAGGAGGTTTTATTTATCTGACTTTGATTAGGGAGATAACAAGATGGGTCTCTTAATCAAGTTAGAAAAGGAAAACTGTTCAGTCATCGGACTTTTTTTGTCACTTTCAGATGAACCCATGGATGTAACAAAATCCATTTACTTCAGAAGAGGCCAAAATTCTCCCACCGACCAGTCTTCCTTTTGCTGATCCAAAACCAAAACACAATGAAACTTCCTTCTAGAATCCCTCAAGCTAGCAGGCCAGAGAGGAAAAATGAGGAGGGAGAGGGGGGACTTTGAATGAGGCACAAAAGGACTTTCACTCCGTTTTATCTCCTCCTTTCCAAGAGGATAAACAGCTGTAGCAATAACTTCCCCCTTGATCTTAAAACTCTGGCAGCGTTGACAAAATTCTTTGTTTGAACGCCACATTTTTATTTTCTTGAAAGAAAAACGGGGGGGGGGGAGCTCCACACGCTGACCTTTTCCATAACTACAACCTTATTTCTCACAGAAAAGTGCAAAAGGGGGGGAGAGGGGTTTGGTGAGGGAGAATGCAAACTAATATCTCCCCCCCCCACAACCTCTTAAAACACATCAGGAGGTCCTTATTTGCTTGTGGGGGGGGGGGGAGACTCTCTCCATTGAAACACTTTTTGAAAAAATGTGGCAAGGTTTGCTTTCTTTCTCTCCCCCTCTTCTGCTGTATGTCTCTCCCTCCCCCCCGCTTTTTCTACATCTGGCACCCATACAGTCTACAAGGCTTGGAGTTACTGCTCTTTTTCTGAACTACTGCCATGTTACCCAACACTACGCAGAGTGAATAAAAGAGAGGGGGGCAGGCTGTGTGTTTGTAAGTGTAAGGGCATGCCTCTGATAGTGTGTGTGTGTGTGTGTGTGTGTGTGTGTGTTGGGAGAGAGAGAGAAACTCCAAAACTATTAAAAGCATTAAATCGCCTCCTAATATTTCCCCTAAAAACAAATCAACAAAGGCACATACCCACCCCTGAGTTCACACCGCCTCAGCTGAAGAGTACCTCAGCAAAAACCCGAGGTACCTACATTGTTGCAGACTGACTCGTTCAATAAAGAATTTTGAGTGTCAACCATTTATGCATGCCTTTGTGTGTTAAAAATGAAAGGCACAGGCTTCAAAGACATGCTTATTAAGTGTGCCTTGGAACAAAATCAATGCCAGATGTGACCAGAGCAACCAAGCCAATCCTTCCCCTCAGCAATGCCTGCAACTCTGGGCAGTATATAAGGCCCTGTTCCTTGAAGGTCACCTGCAGCTTCGCTCTTCGTCCCCCTCTCCTCCCCCCACCCCCAAATAATAATAATCAAAGCTTGGATCAAAATGATTCCCTGAGGGAGCAACACATTCAGATAATTAGTTTCACCTTGGGTCTGTACAAGATTCCCCCCTCAAAAATATGAGAATATGAGAATATGAGATGGGAATCTTGTACAGTATATCTATCATCTATCTATCTATCTATCTATCTATCTATCTATCTATCTATCTCTCTATCTATCTATCTATCTATCTATCTATCATCTATCTCCCCACTGGTCTTTGGCCTCAGCTCCTTTTGTACACATTGTGTACAAAAGTCAAAGAAATAAAACCCCCAAAGTTATCTGTCACTTTAAAATGCTCTAACCACAGGTACAGCGCGATCCTATAGCAGGGGTCGGCAACCTAAGGCCCATGGGCCACAAGCGGCCCACGGGGGTCATTTAACCAGCCCACGAGCCGCCCCCGAACCAAGCCACTGACTTGCTTCCATGGTGCCGGAAATCGCGTCTGTGCATGCGCAGATGTTGGAAATCGCAGGCGCGCGCATGTGATCCGGACCACGAAGGGATCTCCGCTGGAGTGAACCGACCCAGGTGAGGTAAACCTTGCTGACCCCTGTCCTATAGGAATGGTAACAACCTCAGCTAAGCAACATCAGTTTCATTCTAGGAGTTCTTCAGAGGTTATCAGAATGATCCGGTCCTGATTTTCCCATCACTGACTTCTATAAAATACACAGTAAGCAAATCCAAGGCAAATTCAAGGCCCCTGGCTTTGTGTCTACTTAAGAGATCTAAAAAATTCTGGAAATTTTGAAGTCATTGGAGGAGGGAGGGTTTTGTCAGGAAAGAAGGGAAATTTGGGGATAAATGGGGGGAATGAACTACTTTGCATATCAAAAGTCACTTTGTAACTTTATGCATTATGTATATCGGTGTACCATATAATTATTGTATCTGCTATATTAAAAGTTACAGTTCATCCAGACAATAATTAACAATTGAATTTATTAAGGTGTTTTGCGGTTGCCCCCCCCAAGCAGTGCGAACTGAACGGCAACGAAATTTTGTCGCTCTCTACTTTCTCCCACTTCCAGTCCTTTTGAGGCCTGTGAAAGAGGACAGAGACAGATGTATTCCAACTACTCCAGCAAGAGGAGGGCCATAATCAAAAGAGGCATCAGAACCTTCTTCCTTCTCTTGTGACAATGGCAGTGCCTTCCAAGAGGCAGAGATGCATCTTGCTCTTGTATGTGAGAGTTGCACTCACAGTTGACAGATGAGGACTTAATACTTAATAATTGTAATGATGGGATACTGTAAATAGTCTTACATAAAGTTTTTCCTGTTGCACACTTTTAGAAATAATTTGGGAGGGGGAGTAAATAGATGAACACCTCGTCTTAAACATTTTGTTTGTCATTGTAAAAGAAAGTGTTTCATGATGCCCATTTTTTTTAAAAAAAAATTTAATTGAAGGAAAATGAGGAAAAACATTTTGAATTTTAAATAGAAGTTTAAATAGAATTTTTCATTACCCGGCCCTGGGACTTTTGCATCTCCACTATATGTTTTCAGACCCATGCCTCCACTCCATTCATAGCAGTGTATGCCACAGAGACATGGTGTGCAAACAGAAACCTAGGTTTCCCTTAGAGTGTGGTCCTGAATTTTTTTCTGATTGGGATGGGATGGGGAACAGATTTGAACAGTGTTAGAAACTGGGATAGACAAGCTAGGAGCCAAATGGCTCCTAGGACCTGAGTTGTGGGTGCCAAAACAGAATGTCTAGTTGCCCCAGGGGGTCGGCAACATTGTTTTTTATCATTTTGATAAGCATGCGCTAATACGCAATTCACATAAGTGACACATTGTTAATATAACCTTTTTAGCATAAATTATTAATACATGTTTTAATTTTGTGTTTACAACAAAAAATATTGGTACCGTACTTCGGTTTTCAAAACACTCTACAGTGGTACCTCGGGTTACATACACTTCAGGTTACATACGCTTCAGGTTACAGACTCTGCTAACCCAGAAATAGTACCTCAGGTTAAGAACTTTGCTTCAGGATGAGAACAGAAATCATGCTCCGGCAGCACAGCGGCAGCAGGAGGCCCCATTAGCTAAAGTGGTGCTTCAGTTTAAGAACAGTTTCAGGTTAAGAACGGACCTCCGGAACGAATTAAGTACTTAACCCAAGGTACTGCTGTACTCTTTATTGTTAAACTCCTTAACATACTGTCTATCCTTAACATACACTCCAAGGCTTCAAAGAGCATACATTTCAGTAATCCTTGAGTGTCATATGGCACTTAAGACTTTTTGAGGTGCTCGCAAATGGAGAATCTTTAGGCACAAAATGCGCCTGGCGCCCTGCTAATTTCAAACTCTAGATTTGGAGGGGAGGGGGAAGCCCCGTTGTGCTAGCAGGAGCCCTTGAGGCGGCATCCACTAGCACAACAGGTTAGTTTAATCTGGGCCTATGTTTGCTATGTACAAGAGATGCAGGCCCTACAATGCTTTCCTCCATGCTCATCACGAAAACAAGGCAATTTACAAAAAGCTTACACTCAGTTTGGTGGTGGTGAGCGTAGATCCATTCCGTAAAACTGGCATCAGCGGACTGGACGTCACAGTGGAAAAGGGGCCTATGTTCATTGAGTTCTACAATCCAGTTTACATGAGAGCTCTGCTTGATCAGCTGAATGTACCATCTAAGCCAGGGTTAAGGTAAAGGTAAAGGGACCCCTGGCCATTAGCTCCAGTCGTGACCGACTCTGGGGTTGCGGCGCTCATCTTGCTTTATTGGCCGAGGGAGCCGGCGTAAACGTCCAGGTCATGCGGCCAGCATGACTAAGCTGTTTCTGGAGAACCAGAGCAGCACATGGAAACGCTGTTTACCTTCCCGCCGGAGTGGTACCTATTTATCTACTTGCACTTTGACGTGCTTTCGAACTGCTAGGTTGGCAGGACCAGGGACTGAGCAATGGGAGCTCACCCTGTCACGGGGATTCGAACTGCCAACCTTCTGATTGGCAAGTCCTAGGCTCTGTGGTTTAACCAACAGTGCCACCTGCGTCCCATAGGCCAGGGGTAGTCAGCCTTTTTATAACTACTGCCCACTAATGCATCTTTCTTGATGGTAAAATTTCTTTACCACCCACCAGTACTCGATGGAAGGAGGATTCAGCTTGTGCAGTAGAACCCCCCTACCGCCCACCTAGAATCCTGAAAAGCCCACTAGTGGGTGGTAGGGACCAGGTTGACAACCCCTGATCTAGGCCATCATTCTGCTCTCACGGTAGCCAACCAGATGCCTGTAGGAAGCCCACAAGCAGGGCCTGAGTGAAGCAGCATTCTCCCCACCTGTGATTCCCAATGCTACCAGGAACCCAAAATGCACAACAACTTCTCCTTGGTGTGTTCAGCCACCTCTTCATAGAATTGTAGAGTTGGAAGGGACCCTGAGGATCATCTGGTCCAATCCCCTGCCAATGCAGGAATACGCAGACTGTCCTTTACGGGGACCGAACCTGCAACCTTGGCATTATCAGCACCACGCTCAAACCAACTGAGCTATGCATGCACTTGCACAACAGCTGTCCATACAGGGAAATCTGTCATTTTCAGGCTGAGGAAGCAAGGAAGAAAAGCACTGGCAGCTCAAACCACATGGATACTGCCTGCCACATGCTGGTTGCCCCTTGGAGAGTTTTAGTTCGCATTCCCATCAGCAAACACACCACTTTGGTAGCATATGTGCTGCCCCGTAGGGATGGACTTTATATGCTGTAATTTCACACGTTTATATTCTGCTTTCCATCTGGTATGGGCACCAGATTCAAAGCGATTCAGAGTGATTTTAAAAAAAACAAAAACAACCCAGAGTGATAACCAACAAATGGCTATAGAAGCCAGATAAAAAACATCAGAGTAAAGCTACAATGTGCTAAAAACCTGGAGGAATAAAAAGAAAAAGGCAGGGCAAAAGGATAAAGACAGAGTTGGTTGCTAGGCAAGCCTCCCTAGAGCACGCATTCCTCAGGCAGTAACAGCAAAAGGCCCTATCCTGGACTGCTTCCTGCCTCTCCTCTGATGTCAGATGGACAGCTTCCAATGAGGCCCTTAATACATAGGCAGGGCATGTCTTCATAACACAGAAAACACATCAAGGCTGGGGTGGCTCTCCAAATGCTGCTGGACTGCACCCCTATCACCCCTGACCATTGGGCATGCTGGCTGGGGCTGATGGTTGGTGGTGGTCCAACAATGTCTGGAGCAGAACAAGATCCTCTACCCCTGCTTTAAAGCAGTAAGTTTTCCAAAGGAACCAATGGCATGTTGTGAGCTTCTGACAAAAACTCAAGTGCACCAGGGCAACTGTGAGTGGAGAAGACACAGAGGATCAGGAGGTTAAGAGTAACAATGGGTAGGGAGGAAGACAATAGCTATGGGGGTAATTATATGGTCCTGCGGTAGAATGAATCCACAGCTTCCAATGTGGGTTTTGAGCCCCTCCACTGGGGCTCATACATTTCCCACTGTCTCAGTCCTGCCAGCTACAGACATTCACACCTTGGCTAATGTGAGAAGTGGGTATAATGTGAGCAGTGGGTTTGCCTGACTAAGGGACATTTGGCAACACAAATTCCAAATGCACATAGAATCATACAATAGAACTGTAGAACTGGGAGGGATCCTAAGGGTCATCTAGTCCAATCCCTTGCAATGCAGGAATCTCAACTTAAGGCGTATCTCACTAAAGGCACATTCACACACTGGGTATTTACACAGGACGTGCCAACAGAGGAAATGTGAACTGCATGTCCGGTTGATCCTATGTACTGTCCAGGAGATGGATATGTCCCTTATGATCTGAAATCTTTACTCAATGCTACAATATTGATTTTGTAGCATCTAGTTTGCAGTACCTTCTGTGAAACCTACACCTCTCCTCACACAGTTTGTGCTTCAGCAAATAGTGTACCAAGTACAATAAATCAAAGTGGCTTATTTCTTTTCACAAATTAGGGTTTATCATTTGAGTCTGTTTCCATGGGCAAGCAGGACTTTGATTTAAGGCTTAGTTGCTTACATAGCCTTGTGCAGAACAAACCCCAGAATCACCTAACCAAAGGAAGAACACACTTCAGACACTATCACCTCCCTTGCAAATAGAGACACATAGCTGTGATCTCGTAGGAAGCACTTACATGCGCAATAAACATTACTACCCCTCAGCAGCTGATTACTCTGAAGCTGATTATTTACATATTGCAAACTGCAAAGGGGGAATAATTAGCTACAGAGCAATCGATTGCAGGGAAATCAAATTACTTGTTACAAACAAAACCAGAAGCACTTCTAAGGCAGCAGCAATAGCCAGGGAATGAACTCAGAATGAATGAATGAATACCTATTACGCAAGACGGTGGCTCATCCGCTTGTGAAAGGAAACTGCGCTAGCAACATCGTTATATAGTCTATCCACCCGGTGAGGCCTAGTCTGGTTTCTGGAGCAACCAATCCACCGCTTAACTACTATTGGTTTGGTGGGTAAATACAAAGAGGACAGCAGAAACTCAGACAGACTAGTGAGCAAAGTTGCAGCCAACCATCAAAAGCCTTTCCTTGTGGGAGGATGCTTAGAAATATCTCTTTGGTTATTTTGGCGCACGGTCTCTGCAAACACAAGGGAAGAAGAAGAAGAAGAAAGAAACCACAAATATGCTTACCTATAATTTCCCTTCTTGCTCAGCTGCTCTTTAAAGTGCCCAAGTGTCAGGCTCTGGGCCTTTAACATCCTCCTATAGGGAATTTCCTCTCCACAGAAAAAATAAGTGACAACCAACTCACTAGGCTGGGAAGAGTGAGCAACAGGGAGTTTCTTTGGTTCTTTGTGACTGAAACATAAAAGAAGGGAGGAAAGAAACAGACATTATTTAGAAAGCATTTATGCCATAGTCAGAGAGCACAACTTCATGAGGAGCATATGTAGTCAGCTAACCACCTATAGCAGCTGGGTGGTAAAATAAATGCATAAGCTTGATATCTGTTAGTACACCAAACTCTGAAAGTCTCCATGCCTGATAAACATTACCAGTGGATGGTTAGAGGAATGGGGTTTGCATTTAAACACAGAGCATTAAAGCCAAGAGGCAAGACCAGCAAACTTTGTGGAGTTTTGAACCCGGAAATGCACAAGCTTTAATTGCCAACCTGAAACCCATGTAAAAATCTCAAACTAGCCACTGAACATATTTTGTGGCCTAAAGATTTACAGTTGGGGTTGTAGAACCTGTGGCCAATAGTGGATGGCAGCGTGGGGGGCGGGCACTCGCCTAACCTGCTGTTGCCCATGTAGCCGTTGCATACAGGGATGGAGAGGGAGCAAGGTAGAAGTGAGGCTGGTGCAGTGCAAACGCACCAGTTGAACTAACCTGCTGCTCACACCAGTGCTTTTGCGCCTTGCCAGCCTCCCCCTCTCTGTTCCAATACGCAGGAACAACAGAGGCAACCAGGGGTCAGGTGAGTGCCATTGCCCCACCCCACCTTCTGATATTGCCTGTCATCCTCCATACGCCGATACCCATCTGCTCCAGCCATCATGGCCAATGGGCAGGGATGATGAGAAATGTGGTCCAGAAATATCCGGAGGCCCACAGGCGTCTCATCCCTGCTTTATAGATCCCTGCTCATCCCTTGAGTCAATTTGGTCCACAGGGCAACACGATGTCAGTCTCATTCCCACCTCTAATTTGTTGTTAATGTGTTGTATGAGCTTGGCTAAGTCAAGTCATTCCTTTATCAACCTAAAAGCAACAACAACCCTGCTGTCCATTTGCAAACACCAATAGAATAGGCCAAATGGGGGAAGTTGAGCGCTGGAGCTTTAGCCCTCCCCATGTATGCAATGGTTCAATTCAACTACATGGATGGAGTCTGGCTGAGGTGCTTTCTAGTCACTTCTCAGCCAGGTTCACTTTGCCATAGACAACTAGAGTGTTTGTTCCTTTGGAGAGCTTAGCTGAATTACTGAACTCTCAGGACTGTGTAAGACTTCTTAGGAACTAAACTGTATACAGGTGAATTCTGAGAAAAGATAGCCTTTGAGGAAACTTTTCACTATGGTTCCCAGCACTCTGTAACCTTCTCAGAAGGAGTTGTTGTTGTTGCTATTTAAATTTGGCAGTTGTTTTATCATGCCCAAGGCAACCCAGAGCAATTTACAACCAAACATGCAGGCAATAAGCCCCACATAGATACGTTAGAGCCAAAAAAAGAGAGAGAAATACATTAAAAACATCTTGCCCACTTCTAAAAGGCCACAGATGGTTAAAGACCAAAGGCCTGGCTGTAGAGGAAATTTTTTTGCCTGGCACCTAAAGATATGCAATGGTGCCCTTTGGACCTCTTAGGAAGGGCACACAACAAGAAGGGTCCAGGATTATGAGCGCAGGATCTGGGCCAAAACATATGGGGAAAGGTGGTCCTTGAGGTATTGTGGATGAAGAATTAAACTCAGTCAGAACCAACTAAGAAACTGCAGTGTTATTCTCCATGGATTGATGAATGTCTTAATATAAATTGATGGAGAACATCTTCTGAAACTAGTTGCCTGTAAAGCTTCTATATTTTTCCATGCTGAATTTCCGGACTTTCTTTCAGCAGTGGTTAGATTTTTAAGCCTTCATCTATGTGTTTTGAACTGCATTTTACCATTTTGTTGCATTTTATCACTGATCTCCTTGTTTTTAATGCAACAGACTAACAAGGTTATCCCTCTGGAAATCAACTTGATTTCCAAGCCTCTACAACCATGTGTAATACAATCTTGTCTACACACACACACACACACACACACAAGAGCCTTTTTGGTGGTGGCTCCACATCTGTGGAATGACCTCCCAGCTTTATATTGTTTTAGACAGCAGATAAGAACTCACTCTTTTTGTCAAGCTTTTAGAGGTGGAATGGTTAAGCCATTTTTATGATGCTGTCAATTAAGTTATACATGGGCATTTTTAAAATCTTTTTGCTTATTATTTTTTATATTGCCTTATATTTTGTAAGTTGCCCTGTAACTGTGTGTGTGTGTGTGTGTGTGTGTGTGTGAGAGAGAGAGAGAGAGAGAGAGAGAGAGAGAGATTATAGTAATCTCTTACTAAATAAATAAAATAAATCCAAAGCTTCACATGAGCAGAGGTTTCCAATTCACTTCCATGTCAAGGCAAACACCATACTTTCTTCTGCACTGATGTGACTTAGAAAGCTGCTCATTATGTGTACCAACACATGCATATTAAAAACTGCTGTGTCCAGGTAAGAGATCTGCCTGTTGCACCAGATTCTGTGGTGCAGTTACAGTCAAGCAGATTTTTGGAGCCATGTTGTTGTGGAGCCATTGGCAGGAGCAGCAGATAGCTAAGGTCTCCTCACACCTTGGGACTCCCAAGGAAGATCGACCCTCTTAGGGAATAACAAACAACTCAGTTACTCAGCAGAATAGCAACGGCGCTTTGAATGCCATGCAGGCAACTTCTGAGGCAACATTGACTTGGCATGTCAAAAGGTCACAAAGTGTTACTCCACAGTAATTTACTCTTCCTAATTTGTTCCAAGTCTTTGTAGAGTGGCTTCAGGAAGAGAAAAAAAGCTACTCACACAGACAGCTGGTGGACTTAAGGTCAACCAATTAAAAATGAAAGGCTACAGTCAGGTGGCTTAGCCTGGACTTCAAACATTGCTCATTGCTTAAGATGAAGAGCGTAAGAAAGAAAACTTTAATTATTTAGACTGTAGCAGATTTCTTGTTAAAAAGAACTATCCTGTAATTAGACTAATCCAATCTTTGTCCACTTTACAGGAATGCAAGCTTTTTTAAAAAATAAAAAAATCAGAAGACAAGATTTGAAAAAAAAATGTTTTGTTCTGTTTTCACCCCCCTCAAAAGAGGAAAGACCAAGCACGGAAAGATTACATTTTCAAAGCACCACCCCACTGATAAAACACACGTTTTGAAAGGTAATGAATGATATCCAAAGCTAGATGTTGCATATGGCAACACTCACTCTTCTGCCGCTACGCTTGCATTGCAGAAAGGACTGTTTCCTCCTGGTACAGAAGTCAAGTGGTTGCGATCCCTGGGCTGACTCGAAGCTGAACATCTAAAGGTTGAAAAGCGGGGAGGGGGAGCAGAGAAAGGGAAGAATGATTAAGGATGTCAAAATCCCATCAGTATATCTAATATCCAGGGCAGACAGTTAAGACTATGCCTGAGTTTTCCAGCGAAAGACAGCAAGGCTCTTTGGCCAAGTAACCGAATTCACTTCCACAATACGTTTAAGAAAAACAAACAAGGGCAGAGTTCAATATTCTAATTGTTTATGATAAGAACGGGAGATTATAATTTCTAAGGCAATGTTCCGTTTAATGGCTGGGCCTTGTGTGGTTTTGCACCACCAGACCTTCACATCACCTGCAGTGCCATAAGCTTCCACTAGGATGAAGACAGCCAAACTAAAATGGCATTAACTTGCAAGGGGATTTACAAATCAAGCTATTGTGGGGGTTTTTCTACAGCTGTTAAGAAGTTTTGTTTCTTCTCCATCTTAAAAGGGGTTGTGTGACGCTCAAACTGGACTGGAAAGAGCCTTCCTAATGACAAAAGCGTTAAGGTCGGGGAGGGGGCAAAGAGGTGGCCTCTGTGCTTCAGCCCCAAGTCACCCCTCCAAGAGGGCTAAATGAACCGCATGAATTAGCATCACATCCTTCCCATCTTTCATTCTCAGGACTGACCACCAGACACGAGCCTGCAAGAACACAGCCTGTTTTGCTTTATTTTCTTGCCACAAACCATCAGCTAGCTGATAAGGATGTGAAAACATTCCATTTTTGAAGATAATGTTCACACATTCAAGACCTTTTGCACCTATGCTGCAGTAAAGAGGCACCCCAGCACCCAACCTGTAGGAAGGTTACCGTTGTTTCTGTGGCTTGGACACTTCCGCTAGCCTGCGGCAAGCTTCCTCCAGCTGGGCCAGAGTGTTAGGCGGCGTCAGCGGGGGCATGGCGGGATCCTGGACGAAAGGGTGGGCGGGCTGTGCGCCACGCGGGTGGCTGCTGCTCCCCCAGAGGTGGTGACGGGCCGGGCGCTCGCCAGGCACGCCTCTGGTGGACTCCGAATTGTAGGCCTTCTTTGTGCTTTGTGTGCTGCAGAGAAAAAGACAGGGGAGAGGGAAGGAACAAGGTTATAAAAGCTGGAAAATATGAGTTTAATAGCAGCTTCTGTTCTGTGCACTCACTCTCCCAAAAAAAGAAAGAAAGAAAAGAAAAAGTCTGTCATAACATGAAAAGGGGCTCTTGCCAAAAACATGACATTTTTGTGGTTTTTCTGGTTCCGCAGAACAGCTTTCATATTAAACCGGAGGAGCAAAAGAGCTCCATTTGTTTTTAGTGATTGTAAAAATAGACAGCTGTGTAATAGATAAATATTCACCGGGAGCAAGAGTGTTGCAGACAGCTTATATTTACCTATGGGGTTTGTGCTTAGATTGTCTTTCACTCTCCAGCATCCACTGCCAGACATTCTGAGAGCGGTCCGCCTCCCCTCCAGGTAGCTGGATTCCTGGTGGTATGGAGAGCCCTCCTCCTTCCCCGCCTGGCAGAATGATGCCATCTGGTAGCTTACAGTTCCTTTTGGGTAGTGTCCCGGTTCGGCTGAGGCTTCAGTGAGAAAGAAAAGAGAAGAGCACTTAAGATTGCTGCTTGTTTGCCGTTCTGCTAGCTTATGCCAGAAACACACAGCACCACGGCTCTCCTCCTCTTCCCCGTAATCCCCAGCTCTTTGCGATTTCATAAACTACCAACAGCTACCCATTGTTTACAGAGCACGGCGTGAGTCACAGCACTATAGCCAAGTTTCTGACACCTGCCCTTCCCCATGCTCAACCACCAGAGGAAACTTACCCAAACGGCTCTAGCTGAGCCATAGGGAGGTCCACCCCCTTGGAGTGCCCCTTGCACTTGGAGTAACAATAATAGTCACTGCCCCCGGCGGCACATAAACACTGGACTCGCTGGGCAGCTTCCGCTTCTATCTGCTCTTTCGTCTTGGGAATGGTGTGGTGGTGGATGTAGTGGTGGTGAACGTGGTTGGTGGTCTGCTTCGTGATAAATCCTTTGCCGATGAGGGCGCAGGCTGTGGGGATCGAGGCTGTGCCCGGCGCAAGGAGCAACTTGCCCCCAGGGAGGCGGTCCGGAGAGCGTGCGCGAGGGCTGTGCCGGCCCATGCCAGGAGACTGGCACCCCGGGGTCTTCAGCACTCGGGAGAGGTGGTCGTCTAGGATTGCCTGAGGGTCGTCCTCGTAGCTGCCGGAGGGCAAGAGGGCAAGGGGGTGTGGCGGGTGCTGATTGGCCCCAACCTCTCGGCCAGGCTGTGCACCCGCAGGTGCGTCGGATCCCTCCTTCTCTTCATCCTTCAAGGGCAAAACACGAAGGGCAATCAATCAATCAATCCATCCATCCATCTGCAAAGCTGAACAAGGGCGGTTGAGAAACTGCTCCAGACATGCATTTCTGCATTAACAGCCTGAAGAGGAGATAACAGACCTACAAGGGGGGGTGGCGGTCAGGTCCGTTATTGTCTTTTAAATACCAAGAGGCACGCAGAGAAAACGGGAAGAGGGAATCATTCGCATTTTCGGGTTTTAAAGACAGGAGAATCGACAGCTTGCCCCTAAGTAGGAACGAAGAAGCCCTGTGGTCTTGCCATCTCTTAACATCCCGCTTCGAACCCCCGCCTCTGCTACCCCCTCCTTCCCTTCCTCCCTCCTCCTAGCCAAGGGAGGCTGCCACCCAGCAGGCGTCCGCCCCTGAAAGGGTTAATCCACCTACCTCTGTGATTTGCTGCAGCCTCTCTTCCAAGCAGTCCATGGTCTCTTGCTCCCGCTTGAGCTTCTCCAGCCGAGAGATGAGCTCGGCTGCAAAGGTGGCCGGTTCCACGGGGGTCATTTCCTTAGGAAGGCGGTGGGTTCGCTACACAGAGCGGGGACAAAAACAGCGAGCCATGTTTAGCAGGCGGCGGAAGCCGAGGCAGCTCAGCCCATGCAGCATTCCTGGCCCCGTTCAGCTGGTTGCGTCTCCATGTTTGGATGAAAAGGAGTCCGCAACCAGGCATGGTCTGCTCTGGATTTTTATGAGCCGTTGCCGCGGCCTCATGGAGTGACATTCTCCCCAATAGCGCTTGCCTTCGGCAGGAGCAGTTGGTCGCACTCCGAGGAACCCTGCTTGTTCTCTCTGTAGTACAACCAGCCCATCAGTAACTACTCTGAAGTAGAAAATCTTCAAAGACTGTTGTCAAACATCAAATGAAAAACTCCGAGGTGGGAGGGAGAGACTTTAACTCAAGGAATAAAAGTGGAGTATAAACAGAAAGGAGTTGGAAATTAAAAAAAAATATAATAAGATGTTTGGGGGGGGGAGGGAAGGGAACTGGGGGGGGGGGGGAGAAAAAGAGAAGTCAAACGGTTGCAGATCAGAGAAGTGCTGGTAATTTATTTCCTGGCTACACACTGGGCACCTTTGAGGTAGTGTTGTCTCAACAGTGTCCTAGATCTCCCTCTCTCTCTCTTTTTCTCTCTCACTCCCCCCCTCTCCCTGCCCTCCATCTCTTTGTACAGAAAATGAAGGAAGCTGCTGCAGGCAAGCAGTGCTACACTGCTGAGCGTGGCTGCCTCAAGCAGATCTATCAAGGGAAAAGGGAACATCTCCAAATCAAGTGTAGAATATAAAAAAGCAGGCGAGAGAATCTCTGCCAAAAGAAGCTAGGAAAGACCCCCACCCACCCACAATCGCTGCTGTCATCTCCCCACAAGTACTCCCCTCCGGTTTTTTTTGCCTTTACCCTTAAATTCTGCAGGCACACACAAACACACATTTTATTTTGTTTTTATTTTTTAAAGCAGAAAGCCGAACTGCCAGCTCTTTCACATACTACCCATGAGATGAGGTGGGGCCTCTCTCTCTCTCTCTCTCTCTCTCTCTCTCTCTCTCTCTCTCTCCTGCAACCACTTAGCTTCAGAAATGATGTGAGGGTAGAAAAAGGCCACTCTGCTGGAAATTGTCACTCTTACACAAGCTGGCTCTATTCAGTTCCCTGATCAAAGCACTGCCTTACAGAGAAAGTCGATTTGCACGCCCCAGGACAAAATAATCTAATTTACAAGCGGAGGCTATAGAACTTTCTTTATGGAAGGGATAGGGAAATATAATAAATAAATAAAGAGAGCGCGCGCACATACACACAAAACATTTCCGTACACCTCAAATTATCAATCTGCCTACCTATCTATCTACTAATGTTTTCTCTACTACATAAGGAGAGGGATTTGGTTACACAAATCATGAGACAAGATAGGTTAGCACTTGTCTGGGTAAATAGTTTTGCAGAGAAATGCCTCGCTAGAAGAATCACACCAGCATCTCCCTCAAATCTTCTGTACTTTAAAGGAGAGGGCAAGCCAACCTTCCAAAATATATAGAACCAGATTAGCTGCTTTCCTTGAAAACCAAGAGGCAGGAAAAACACTGGTTTTTTTATTTATTTTTAATTTTTGAAGGCACATATTTGGTACAAATATCCTCTTTCCTTTGCAGAAGCTGGGATGTCTATTTCCTGCCAAGAAGTTGTAAGTGGTGGTAGAAATCCTGGCTCTGCTCAAACAAATAGCAGAACTCCCAGTGACTTCAATGAACACAGGATTTCTCCTGGTGCGTTTCTCTCTCTTTGACGTCCTGGAGCAGACCAGAAAATGCAGAGCATGATCCTTTTTTATTTAGAAAAAAAGAAAGAAAGGAGGGGAAAGCAGCTGTGGAAGTTAGGGGAGAGATTTAAGAAGCGTCTCCCCCCCCCCATTTTCCTCCTAGCCATCCATTCATGTGGCTTAAAATGGGTAGGAGGGCAGACACTTCATATCAGTTCTTCAGAGCTAATCAACATGGTGCAAACATACCAGAAGGCAAGTCCATATTCATTGTCCTCAAAAAAGAGGCAGTGATTGGGAGGAGGAAGAGGAGGGGGTTCTACCCAGAATTCCTCTTTCCAATGGTGGCTGGGCACATGGAGCCCAGTGTGAAAAGAGAACACAGCGGGGAGGGGGGGGAGTATGTCAGATTGGAAAAGGAGTCATACAGGAAAATAGAAACAAGAAAGAACATACAGAGAAGTCTTGCAGGATCATATCAAACATCCGTCAAGTCTCCAATTTCCAATGGGGTAAAAGATATGTGACAACATAAGAAGACTGCAAAAGCAGGACCTGAGTGCAAAACCACCCTCCTCACTTGGGATTCAGAAGCCTACTGTTTGGCAGGTGCTTCTATAACAGTGGTACTTCGGACACTATGGGACTTCAGCTCCCATCATTTCTGCCTGGATTTAGGGTGGTGCGGGTGGTCCCCCTCCCCCCGCAGGATGCAGAGATGGGGGACACAAGAAATCATCATCATCATCATCCTATACTTATAGGGGTATCTACTCAATACTTGTGAAAATAAGGAATATTTAGGGGGGGTGCCCAATTTTGTCCTCTCTCAGCAGAGACATCACCTTGCCAACAAAGGTCCGTATAGTTAAAGCTATGGTTCTCCCAGTAGTAATGTATGGAAGTGAGAGCTGGACCATAAAGAAGGCTGATCGCCAAAGAATTGATGCTTCTGAATTATGGTGCTGGAGGAGACTCTTGAGAGTCCCATGGAGTGCAAGAAGATCAAACCTATCCATTCTTGAGGAAATCAGCCCTGAGTGCTCACTGGAAGGAAGAGATCCTGAAGCTGAGGCTCCAATACTTTGGCCACCTCATGAGAAGAGTAGACTCCCTGGAAAAGACCCTGATGTTGGGAAAGATGGAGGGCATAAGGAGAAGGGGACGACGGAGGACAAGATGGTTGGACAGTGTTCTCGAAGCTACCAGCATGTGTTTGACCAAACTGCGGGAGGCAGTGGAAGACAGGAGTGCCTGGCGTGCTCTGGTCCATGGGGTCACAAAGAGTTGGACTCGACTAAATGACTAAACAACAACAGGGTGTCTTATTACCAAAGTCCACTCCTGGCCCCAGGCTTGCCCATACCTAGTCTAGAAGCTCACAGGGCGGAGTAGGAAGGAAACAGCCAGGTAACCTTTTGACCTGCCCACTGCCCTTAGCATATGGTACTCAGAGTGCCAGGGATATGGGTTTTTCGTAGCCAGCAAAAAGGAAACATTGAGGGAAAAGAGGCAGGCGGAAAACTTTCAGGTTTAAACCTAGAAAGAATTTATCGTGCACCAGAATGAAACTCTGGAAGTACATTTTTAGGAAGCTTGTTTAGATATGTTTAGATAACTGCTGGTGTAAGGCACCTGGTATCTTGTTTAGCTATACAAGGAAGGAAGGGATGCTTGGATCTGTCTTCCACCATCTTGTACATTCCTTCCTCTTCTTTTATTCTAGGCTGATGCAACTTTGCATTCTAACCAAGCCAAACCAAACACCACCCAACAGATCAGCATTCCATCTCTCTCCTATACTGAAGCAAACAACAAGGAATGGCTCAAAAAGGCATCAAGGCTAAATTCATCTAGAGATTGCATAGCCTTATCAAAGTGCCATGACTGGACAAAGAGGCTCAGATATGAACAGAGACTGGCTTCAATCCCTACTGCCGCCGCCACACTATGAAGGAAGCTTAATGACCTGGCCTATCTTGCCTCTGAGAGGTTTTTATGTCCATAGAACACAAAGAGCAAAAAGGCTGGAGAGGAAACATAGCCCCCATGAAAGAGGATGTGTGTTGCATGCAGAAGAACCTCTATCTCAAGTGTAAAAAGAAAAACAGTAAGTATCAGATAGTCGGGTGATAAGAAAGGCTGTTGGCCTGAAACCCTGGAGAGCTGCTGCCAATCAGAGTAGACAAAACTAGGCTGGATGGACAAACAGGGCCGTTTCCTATGTCCCCCTATGCTGGTTGGAAGAAGTGTGGAACTCCATCGCTACTGCCTCCAATGAAGAGGAGTCCAGTTGCCCCAGGTAAGCACCATTCATAGGATGTGGGCAGTGAGCCTGCTGTGCCATTTCTAGGAAACACAAACCCCTGTGTTGCAAAATGTGAAAATCTATAAAAATGCAAATGCAAGTCGCTGGCTAATAACTGTTCGTAAATATATAATCGGCATGATGTCATTCAAAATATATAAATAAGCCACTTCAAAACTATCTATCTATCTATCTATCTATCTATCTATCTATCTATCTAATACAACACATCTCACAAAATATACAAGTAACTGCAAGTTGTTATATGTATCAGAGTCAAACAAAGATTCAAACAACCAATGAATAGCGAGAAACGCCAAACCGTCTCTCAAAGGAAGACGTCTCACAAAAGTCTGGAAAGGACAGTGCATCTGGAATAGTTCAACTGTTTTGGAATAAAGTCTTTATCAGCGAATAATTATCAATGAAATATACATACTAGTGAAGATCATACTAGTGGGTATCACTGGATAATGTAGCTGTTGATGAAGTGATCTTTGTTTGACTCTGATACATATAACAAGTTGCAGTTACTTGTATATTTTGTGAGATGTGTTGTATTTTATATATATATATATAGAGAGAGAGAGAGAGAGAGAGAGAGAGGGAGAGTGTTTTGAAGTGGCTTATTCGTATATTTTGAATGACATCATGCTGATTATATATTTACTAACAGTTATTTAGCCAGTGTGTTGCGTTTGCATTTTGGTAGACTGTCATTTCTAGGGGCTTCTCTCTTCCCAGTTTTGCTTAGCACACTTTTAGGGCAAGTAAGTCTTGATGGGTTCTCTCTATGCCTGAACAAACTCAAGTACTTACTGGAAAGTGAGGTAGAGAAACTTGACCGTTGGCCTTGACACTCCGATGTATTTCCCGCTGGAGTTGCTTTTTGCTCCCGAGTCTGTATGGAGGGATCCCATCACTAGAAGTAAAGGAATACAAATGGTTAATTTCCAAACAAGGTACTCAGCTAAGATGCAATGAAACACACATGGAAGCATCTCTCGCTGCCCAACAACAACAACAAAAAGGGTGCTCAGTGGCGTAGCGTGGGGGGTGCAGGGGGGGCCGGCCGCACCGGGCGCAACATCTGGGGGTTAGGGTTAGGGGGCGCAAATCCACGGGTTAGGGGGCGCAAATCCACGGGTTAGGGGGCGCAAATTACTTGCCTTGCCCCGGGTGCTGACAACCCACGCTATGCCACTGAGGGTGCTTAAATAGGACTGGCTCAAACTCCAGCCCTGAAACTCCACCTCCTTCACTCATTTAAGAAAAGAGAATTTGACAGCCCTACTTCAGAGATTCTCATAGGTGGTTGTAGAACAGAGAGGCAGGTTGATGGGCTGAGTATTTGACCAATCTGCTGTCTTTTGCCCACAGGCCTACACAAACTTGGAGCTGGGCCTTCAAATAACTAGTCATGTGTTGCAGTCAAAACGGTTTCTTCCTCTTCCACAGTCAAACTTGAAAAATATTTATTCTTTTGTTTACTTTAAGAGTTTATATATACTGCTCATCAACTGAATAATATTTGAGTGGTTCATAGAATATTATGTTTTTATATATGTTGGAAGTCGCCTAATAACAACAACAATTCTTTTATTCTGCCTTTCCTCTTGAAGGACCCTAGACTGGCTAACAACACATCGTGCAGATAAAATCAGAATGGTGGCATGATATTTCTTCATTCCAGTACAAACAGATACATATTAAAACGTTAGAAACCACGGACAAATTACATCCTCCATAACCAGCAATGTATATTATTCTGAGCTTAGAATTAGTAGCCAGCAAATGCCAGAATAAACAGGAAGGCCTGCATCAAAAGTTCATCATGGTTGGCATCTACCTCATTTTAGAGAAGAGGAAGTTCCTGAAACCAAGTGCCAACACAGAAAAGGCCCTCCGCTGGGTTGTCACACCCTGTGCCTCAACTAGCAGTAGCTCCACCAGAAAAGCCTGCTCCAATGATCTTAGCAAATGAGCAGGTCTATACAAAAAGCAAGTGTTTCTTCAGAAATCCGGGCCCCAAGTTGCATGGAGCTTATGCCTAAAGAAATCTCTATGTGCAAAAACAAAAACAACCCTGCAGGGCAAAATGACAAGATGTTCCACTTCCTAACTTCTGCAATCTGGTTACTACGCCTCCCCCTCTTCACAATTTCTTTACTGAGTTTGCTCGTTTCGGTGCCTGTATATGCATGTAAATTAGGATACAAATAGGAATAAAAAGGCATACTGCAAACTGGAATATGGTTTTGCCTGCCAGCATACCCCATCTAACTGAGGCCTTGTACATATGGCACACTGAAAACAGGAAGAACAGCTGCTGTTTGGCAGAGTGGTATGGCTTTTGTCCCTACTCCTTTTGTAGTATGGAAAGCAGGAATTGTGGAAATTTCCAGTGGTGGGATCTGTAAGTCCCAATGTGGGCTGAACCTGTGAATGTGAACAGCCTGTGTTTGCCCCCTCTGTGTTTGTGTGCATACGTGTAACTTAGGATGAAGACATGCAACATTTCAGAGTAGGGCCACTCTGTCAGTTCCTCACTGCATTGAGCCTGAATGAATGTTTCTGCTCCAGGATCAATCTCAGGCTTATGGTTTGGTGTAGTTCTGCAGATCTGAAGCACAAGCTGGCTATGCCTGGTCTGACAGGCTGGCTCTTCATGAAGACTGCAACATGCCACTTGGCACACTCAATGAGAGATAGATGACTAAGCCAGCATACTCTTCCTAGACAGGCCCACCTGGCACTTCAGTTGCAAAGCTAGGCTTGCTCCATGTCTGAGGGACATCCTTGGAAGCTCTCTTTTCACCCACTGCATGCCTTCACTGTGACCTTCATGGCTCTAGCCCAGGGATGGGGAACCAGTGGCCTTCCAGATGTTGTTAGACTCCATCAGCTTCAGACAGCTGGCCAATAGTCAGGGTTGATGGGAGGGAGACTCCTTCAACATCATCTAGAGAGCCACTAGTCTCCCCATCTGTCATTTAAGAAGGAAAGCCTGTATAATATACAGGTGTCTTTAAACACTTGTGATCAATCAGGGAACCCAGACACACACACACACAACTTTTTAAAATGTGCGCATATTAGCCAAATTTTGTGTTTTCTGCTGTGATAGGGGTATCGCCTGCTTTTGTGCACCAGGGAACTGTTAGGCTAAATCCAAAGGATGAGCCACAGCTGCCTTTCTCTATCATCTTTATTGTAGAGCCTATTATTCCAAAAGTCCTTGAGACTACATACTACATGAGTGTTAGTATAAATGAGAGCTGTCATACGTAAATTAGGGCTGCCGTCCAGAATGCCATTTGGGCGAAATTTTTTGAAAATCGGTTAAAATGACTGGGAAAACGCATATGGGAACTGTTGATTTGGGAGGGGGGGAATTTCCTAAGGAATAGCTTAAAAACTTCATGTTGTGGGGATTTCACTTCTTGAAATATGGCAACCCTAGATAGGTGCTTTCTTTAAGGGTGTTCCAACACACAAACCTTTTTAAGCTCAGTCAATAGAGCATGAGATTCTTAATCTCGGGGTAGTGGGTTTGAGCCCCACATTGGGCAAAAGATTCCTCCATTGCAGAGGGTTTGACTAGATGACCCTCATAGTCCCTTCCAACTCTGTAATTCTATAATTCTATGAATAGTACGTCCTGCTAAACACAATTACACTTCAAGAAAAAAAAACAGTGCACTGGTTGTCAGCCCAATTTTTGTTGTTGTTGGACTTGAGCGCCCATCAGTTCTCATCTAGCAAGGTCAATAGCTAAGGATGATGGGACTCGTAGCCTAGGATCATCTAGAGAGCCATAGGTTCTCCATTCCCCAGCAAAGCTTTCCATGCATGTCCAGTCACATTTCAATGCACTTTCCATGTGCGCTAGGCTGGGCCGTTCGTATATTGACAACTGCACACGAGCAATGGATGTCCTGGACACCCGAACCACAAAATGAGCCAACGCATGCCAAAACTGCAGAAAACACAACCAGGGATACATGGAACGCAGACAAGGGCTTTCCAGATGGCACACATATTACACAGATCAGGCCTAATATTTGCGGAAAGATCTGTTTTGTCTGACAAGGAGAAAGAACATGCAGACTTGCTGTGAAGGCATCCTTTATTTACTACAGAGCTTCAGAAAAAAGCATTTGCCAGAATTTGCACTGGCCCTACAGAACAACACCAGCTCCAATCAGGATGCTCAGTTTCCCAAATATTTAACAGCCCCTGCATCACCCCACAGTCCATTGCGGGGAATCAATAAATAAATATTTCTAGACAGGGATGTGATCTACCTCTCCAAATTTTACTTGTAGATAGTAATAACTGATCAGTCACTAGGGGTTTCTTCTAGATAGCTTTATCTAGGCTGACTAGATAGTTCAAGCAATTTGTTTCTTCTACTCAGCCTTAACAGTCATCAATGGACAATTTCAAATTTGCATTCATTTAAATAATTCTGGCACCCCTGCTCCCCGGAAAAGGCAACAACCTTTTCACGTACACTGAGCATTTGCTCCCAACAGATGTGTAAATATGAATGGCTCTGTGGACGAATACTGGACATTGTACCAAACAGCTATAAAGCAAATACATGCTGGGTTGTATGAAAGCTGCATAGTCCATCCAAATCAGCAATTGTGGGTTTGCTGGGTGAAAGAAAAAAACCAACCCCCAAGTCATTGCTCATTCGCCCACTTCCACATGGGCATGAGGTTTGTTCACCAAATTATTGTGGGCTGTGGAGCTTTTAAATGTGGCATTTCATTTGGAACTCTCAAAATTCTTTCTGAAGATTCACATCTGGTGAAAATAGTTTCATTGAGAGAGTGGACATCCGTTGCTTTTGGCCTCCCCAAAAGCAAAAAGCAAAAAAAATCTGAATAAAGTAATTCCATGGGGCTACTTCTTGAGTGACTGGAATCTTCAGCTGGTGTGGAATGAAACAACCTGCTTCCTGACTGGGTGGGCAGGTGCTCATGGAACATTACAATTCCAACATTTGCATTGGCTACATGTTGTTTTCTGGAAGCAATTTAAGTGTCAGCTTTAATCTATAGAGGCCAGAATTCTTGAAGAGTCCAAAAGAGGCTGCTTCCACACATAAGAAGTTCCAACTACAGTCTTACACGACTGCCAGAAAGCACCCCCTTAGCAGTGTCATCTGGACAGCAAAGGTGTGGAGACTTGCCATGGCCAGCAGCTAAACATCTTTCTAAAGCATTATGCATTGTTTGCGTTCAATCTTGGCTGGTGTTCCCTGTGGACAGTGGAGCATTTTTAACATTTGTGCAATTTCATCTGCCTCCACCTTCCAAGAAATGGAGGAAACAAAGATGGCACCCAAATAGTTTGTGCTAACCATAGTTGGAGCTTCCAAATGGAAGACAGGCAAACCACAGTTTACAGTTACTTGTCTGCTTCCCCACCTGCTCAGCCCTCGGCTTTGTCACTCCCATTTCCACGCAGTAGAAGCCTCTTGAGCGGCACAACAGTGCCCAAATCTGCAGTTTGCCAAGCAAGCTGTAACCTTAGACGGCGAACACAATTGGATTGCCACCCTCTTGGCACAGCACTTTGTGAACAGGCAATGGCATCATTTTGAAATTCCTCCACAGCTTTCTCCACTGACGCTGATGAAGCTGTAGAGCAGGTGGTGGAAAGTCTCCACCCCAATTAGGCTCCACAAGGCCATTTCCCCCAAACTATGAGCAACAGCCCCACACCAGATGCCATATCAGGTATGGACACAGCAACCAAGAGGGGCTAGCAGACACCAGGATATGGCTGTGCTGCAGAAGTCCTGGTGGAGAAATCACTTTCCTGGTGGAGAAATCACTCCCTCAAGGGGAGTGATTCAAACATGAAACAAGTAAATAGATAGCCATAATGGGGAATGCAGGAAATTAACCAACCCCTGCCGAAAGCAGGGCTTGAAGTCACTGATCAGCACGGACTGAAAGCTCCACTTGGGTCAACCTGGATCTTCCTTTGCAGCAGAGCTGGATCTGAACCCATGTTGCAAATGACAAATGGGTTACCTGGAATCATGGTGACATCAAGTGATGGATAGTTGGGCAACCCTGCCCACTGTGGGTGGGGAAATCCAGGATATGGCCCGTCACCTGGAGGTCGTTATCCAGGCTGTAGAACAACCTTCCCCAACCTTACATCCCCTGACACTGCTACAACACAGCCTCTGTGATCCCCAGGCAGCATAGCCAAAGGTCAAGGACGATGAGGGTTATAGTTCAACAGTATCTATGGGCACATGGTTAGGAAAGATTGCTGTAGAGGAACGCTCTCATTCAGGTTTCAAGAGCTGAGGTGTATGCTTCTAAGCAAGGCTGGTGAGAAAAATGTGCACTGTAAGATGGTGTGTTCCTCTAGCAGTGATGCATGGGTTTGTTAAAAAGCCAGCCTCTTCACTTTATCTGACCTGAAACGTGTGGCTTATGTCTGCTACTAGAGTAGGTACAGGCTCCCTTCTTTGCTAATGCTGAACTTTGGTGTGGTTTGCTAAGATTCTAAGCCAGAAGCAGTCAACATGGCATCCTCCAGATGTTGTTGGATCACAGCTCCCATCATCTCTGGCCTTTGGCCACGGTAGCTGAGGCTGCTGGGAGTTGTAATCCAACACCCTCTGGAGGACCCCATACTGATTACTCCTGCTCCAAGTCTTAGAGTCAAACAGAGTTTGACCTTTGGATCCTTTGTAGGACTGCAATGGGAGGAAGCCCCAGTGAACTCCATAGAGCTTACTTCTGAGCAGACAAGTAAAAGATCACACTATTAGGATTTTTCTCGTCAACTTGGACTGGAATTATTTGGCATACAGCAAAAATACATATGCAACATTTGGACAGACGAAACAGCATGTCGCAAAAACAATTCGCATGGCTTGCTCAAGTAAGAGACAGCTGCACCATCAACCAGGAGGAAGTTTGTTCTCCCTTCCCAGTTTGCTACATTTGTTCTTTAGGTTCTGCCAAGAAAGCTGCTGGACAACCAAGAAAGAAACATCGCGCAAACACCTCTTATGTCTTCACTTAAGCTCCAGTGGATGCAGAAATGAAATGCCAGCCATAAATCTAAGACAGGCTAGGATCCCGTTCCAAGTATCCCAAGGGGGAGGAGATGCAAAGTTTACCTCTTTGAAGGCAAAAGCATCCTAGCAGTTTTTGGACACTATGAGCATTTCTGCATCCAGGGAGAGAGGGCAGCATAGAACTGTCAAGTGTATTGAATGTGGCAACTCCATCAAGGCAGAGACAGGTGGGGAGGCTGTTTTACCAAATGCATGCTGTTTAGATGCGATTGCATACCCCCGAAGCTTCAGTCAAGAATGACCCATACTCCATATCAACAGAGTTTCACACAGAGGCAGATCTCTTTGCAAGAAAGAACTTGCCATGTAAAGGAGCAAGAGGTGACAAACCTGTGGCCCGTCGAGATGCTGTTGGGACTCCCATCTCCCAACAGCCCCCAGCCAACATGGCCAGTGACTGGGGATGATGGGAGTTGCAGGCCAGCAACATCTGGCAGCCCCCTAAGGTTCCTCACTCCTGCACTACAGCCTGACAGATAAATAGTGGACAAGGGATGAATGAGAGCCACTTGTAGGGATAGGACTGGGTAGTCCTAGCAGTGTGGCAGCACAAGCAAAGTCAGATAATGAGCAGTGCATGGGGATCCATAGAAAATCATGCACCTTGCCTGTATGAGGTCCCGTGTTTAGTCACTAGCAACTCCATTTAAATGATCTCAGGCAGCAGCTCTGAAGCCATGAAGAGCTGCTGCCAGTCTGGGCTTCACTCTGTATAAAGCAGGCATAGGCAAACTCGGCCCTCCAGATGTTTTGGGACTACAACTCACATCATCCCTAGCTAACAGGACCAGTGGTCAGGGATGATGGGAGTTGTAGTCCCAAAACATCTGGAATTTGGGGGTGCCTGGTATAAAGCATCATATGTCCAGTTGTTACTGAATGCTACCTGGTGGGGTGGAATGGTGAGTCAGGGGGGACATGGAAACATAATGCTTTCCCTTCCACTAACTGCCTTTTTCCCCTATGCTATGCTTTATTAAATAGATTCTGAGGATAGAAACACCAAAAGCTTGACATGCCACAGTTGGGCATTTTCTTACTTGGCTTTATTTTGTCTCATTTAGGGAGCATCTTCCTTGCGATAAGGAAAGTCCTCTAAATGGAAACTTACCAATACACATTCACTACGAGTCCACCATGATGCACAGCGGCAGTCTAAGTGTCCATGTGACACTCCTCTCCCATTCACTGAGGCCTCCCTGATTAGCCCGAATGTTTTGAGTGCTCCCTAACGCCACAATTTGGGTAAATGGGGGTGTCCTCTTAATTGGCTCACTCAAACAAGCAGCTATCTTGGTTGCGGGGGATGGGGGGTGGGAGATGTTAATTACAATTAAATAGAAAGGGCTGGCGAATCTCATTTTAAAAAGAAGGGTGGCGTTACTGAACAGCCCTGAGAAACAGAACTGAGAATCGTAACGAGGGCTTGAAACAAGCTTCCTAAACTCCGGTGCTTGGGTATTTAAAATGAAAGGGCATTGAAGGAAAGTAAGAATCCATAATGCATTAAATACAGACAAGACAGGCAGCTGGTGCTTGAATTTCAAGTCCAACAAGGGTAGCCAAGAAGATCAAGTGAGGTTACAAGGGAGAGAATTCTTGACTTTTATTTTTGGCTCAAGCCCTATTTCAGCCAAAGGTTCACAGGGTGGGCTTAGCCAAGTTTCTGCCTGCCTGCCTGCCTGCCTGCCTCTCTGCCATCTAAAAAAATGGGAACATTGGCGGCTGCACCTCATAAGGTAGCTGCAAGATCACAGAAAAAGAGAATGTGCAAAGCATTTTTACAAGCTGAGTCAGAATGGCACAGAAGTGTTGGACCTGAATGAGCGAGGTCCTGCCCAGCCATGAAGCTCATCTGGGTAAGTCTCAATTTATCAGGATAAAATATATTGTAGGAGTCGGTGTGAGGCTAAAACAGCATCACCGCATAGATACCATGCTAGTTCCTTAGAAGATTAGCGGAACCCAGAGCTGATACAGAAAGAACATATCTAAGGGCTGTTGCCAACCAAGTTATGCTCAGAGTACACCCATTGAAATTAGCAAACCTAAGCTAGTTATGTTTGTTAATTTCAGTGAGCCTGCTCAGAGTAGGACCAACATCAGCCACAACTCTAAGCCAACAACAAAAACCAAAGGTCACTGACTGAATGCATCTCGACAAAACTGAAAACATTTTAAAGTGTTTTAGGATAAAATGCTATCTAAAACCGGTGCACAATTAATACTGCTGCCTAAAAAGAAAAACGAAAAAAAAGATACAACTTCTGATGTCCATGTTAATCCAACCCCCCTCCCTTCTCCAGAAGCACAATATTTGTGCTAGATTTCCTGGTGTGCATGTGTTTTAAATCCAACTCTGGGCTGAAGAACAGCATAGTTTTAGGCACTGAATAGCACAGTTTAATTATAAACATTTTAGCTAACCAGTCTGGTACTAAGCCAATCTGTTTCTGGGGAAACACTAGTTTTGAAGTCTTCTTTCCAGTCAGCTGCCATTTAAGCTGAGCCAATTATCTTAGCCTTTTGACTTAGATGTGCCTGACCTAACCTGAATGTAGTTTCACTGCTTCTTTTGAAATATCAGACTCTGTGCGCATATGCATTCACTCCCATCTTCATTTGGCAATGGCTCTGAAACGGAGCCTCTGATCTTGCCAACATCAAAAGCCTGGTTTGTAAGATAAGGTAATATTTGAAGTTTGCTCAGCAGTATTCCCCTGTGTCCAAAGTAAATCCATAAATAAGATATAACCAAATAATAAAAAGTCCCCCTTTCGTCTCTCCCTCCCTCCCTCACCCCTTCCCTCCAATCAAGAAATGGAAATGTGAATTTGCCTGGGTGCTTTGTGGCTAACACCAAAAAGGGGCAGATTAAACAAAAACGCAACATTGATCCTTTGGGTTAAATGTAAGTTCAGGAAAAGGGGGGGGGGAGAGGGATTGTGTGCATTTTCTTTGCTGGGAATGCCACCTGGGGACCACCATGAAAACAAGAGACCAGATCATACCGGCTTTTCAGATGTCTGTGGGTTCTGTTGTCTGATTTGCACCCCACCAAAGCCATTGCACACATGCACGCACACAGTAGAGTGGTGCATTGCTGCACAAATTTGTTGGCACAGAAGCTACAGGAAAAGTGCGATGAAACCATGCCCCTACATCATCAAAGGTGACAAATGAACCACAACAGCAGCTGATTTCACTTTTCTCCCAACGTCGCTCCCCTCCAAAAGCAAAAAGAAAAGAAAAGAAGGCGGCCGCTTTCCTCCCTTTTGCTCAAGTTTCTCTTTCATACACCCATGGCAGGGAAGGAAATTCAAACGCAAAAACAACTTGGCACACGTGCTAGTGTTACCGCAGCTTGCAACAGCTGTTGAAGCCTATCAGCATGCTCTGCTTCTAGGAGTTTACAACACTGAGACGCCACAGAGCTGGAAAAAGTGTGTGTCCCACTTTCCTCCTCTCTCTCTCTCTCTCTCTCTCTCTCTCTCACACACACACACACACACACACTCCTCAGTCGTTTTGAGACAACACCACAGGAAATTCAAACCTTTCCAAAGGCTTCGAGAGGGTTGGGGAGGGGGAGTTTGGGATCAGTTTTCAGCAGGAACTGCTTAAATGCCTTGAGTTTTTGCAGGTTGCTCTCTAAAGCCATATAACCATTCTGGGCCCTATTGAAATCCAGGTTGGCTCCCCGCCCCCCCCCTCCGGCCTCAGCACCACCACCACCTCCGCAACACCCCCACTCCCCATATCTTGAAGCTCCCAGCAGTTTAATCAGGCAAGCTTCCCTTGCTCCTCACAGCCTGTACTGGCTATTGTTATGGCAGGAAAAAACAGCCAGGCTCCTTTCATGCCCGGCTTTATGGGGAGCTCCTATTCACTTGTTCAAGTAAATTTCAAAGCAGCCTGCTACCCTCTTATCCCCTCTAAGCTCCCCTAGACTAACAATAGGCTGAAAGCGATTCAGTTAAGCCTTTCATCCAGCATGCACTTTATTTCTCACTCAGTGCTCTCATCTGTAGAAGGCCCCACAATTGGCATTGCTGTGAAGAGAGGGTATAATCCTAGCCCTGCTCGTCCCAAGTGACCCAACACTGGTCCAGAAATGACTAACCCAGTGAATGCTCTGTTGACACACTGAGCACATATACAAACCGCAGCCCAGCTGGCAAAGAGAAATAAAATAGTGATGCAGCTTTTTAAGAAAATGCAAGGCCGATGTTGTTCAACGAGAAAGCGGGGTAAGGCAGGAATGGGTTTCTTCTTCTTCCATAAAACCATTAAAAAAAAAAAGTACTGCACACATACTAGAAGGAGGGTGGATAAGCAAGTCTGCACTATTTTATATCTAGAGACTTTTTTATTTTAAAAAGTGCATATTCTTCCCCTGCCACCAAAAGGATTACAAGGAATTGCGAAGCGTTTCCTTCCACCTTCAAGGTTTCCAAACCACCATGGGTACACTAACAGTACAATCCTGTTACTCACAAGTTAAGTCCTACTGTTTTGGGTTGGAATTGCTTCCAGATATGTGCATGCATGGGAAGCAGAACTAAGCATTTCAAGTTAAGACCTTGGGAATTGTGTGTGTGTTTGTGTGCATATGTATATCAATGCTAAGTTAAAACCAGGCTACTTTGCACTCCCCAACCCCAACCTGCCTCCAAAAAGCGTTCCTTCCACTGGAAATAAAGAATATGCTCCCCTATCCTCACAGCACTTTGGGATATTTAGCAATGAAGTCCAATCTCTCTACCCAGCAGCAGGAAGAGGAATGCAACATGAAGTAGAGGTGGGAGAGAGAAACCATTGACAATGTACGTAGTTGCCCTTGTACATAGTTGTATGGCTAAAGCAGATTACAACAGAAAACTTCTTCCCATTTCCTTCTCTGTAGAAGACCACAAATTTTACAGCACAGATTGTTCCTCCCATCCTTCTCCCAGAGACTAAGGAATAATTGTCATCACATTCCAAACAGCCTCCACCCTCTTACAGAAGTAAAGTCAGCCAGGTTCAGCCCAAGAAGGCTGTTGACTCTTTGGGTCAATAGAGCATCGCTCCTAAGTTCAGCAGCTAACCTCAGAAAGCACCGCCTAGAGGAAGCAAATTCCTTTTTTTACGACTGTTAATTAGATAATAAGACTACACCTAGTCCTAAAAAAAACAAGGGCTGGGGCAAAATTGTGGCTATGGGGACGATTATGGATACATCCCATGGGTAAGAGGCTGGATTTCTAGTCCTACTGGGAGAACAAGGTTGTTCACCTGAGAGTTGGGTGAGAATACCTGCAAAGTGATGGAAATGAGAGAGTCATTTCCTACCATTGCGTCAAAGGCATACACACTGTGCTCAAACCATACTCCTAGTTTATGGCAATATGGTGGGTAAAGAATCCATCAGAAATATAACTGGGTAGCAAAATTTTAAACAGAAAATTAAAGCAGAGATCATGGTCAGGTAGGATTCTTTTAAGAACCAACAGTTTTTCAAAAAATTCAACCAAGGGAAATACTTACACGCTACTGTCCGTCATAGACATGGAGTCATCAGTCAGAGCATCACTAGATATTTCGCTATCATTTGCACTGGTGGCAGGAGCAAAGACATAGCCAGAGTTCACATGGTAAGGGTTAACAGGATCGTTCCTCTTAAAGGACCTAGAGACAAGCAAAAAGTGAAAGCTCAGTTACTCTTCCATGAACTCAGGAAATACACACATAAAAAAGCCAAAGAGCAATGAGCTAAGTTATATATGTGCACACAAGACTAACTAAATGACTAATATTCTCAATGCTTGGAAGTAACTCAGTCAATTTCAATGGACCGCTTATAAATAAGAAGTGTTTAGGATCACGGCCTTCATTTTCCATCCACCATAAACAGCTGGCTAACCAGCATGTGATCTGCCAGAAGTATCTGTAATATATAGGAGAAATAAACCCATGCTACTAAATCCTTGTTTACCTGTGTAGGTTTGTGTTCACAGCATACCCATTTGGGTATAATAGCTTTCATTGTGCTGTGTAGATGGAATGGAAGCAAAGCAAGTTGTTTGTGTACATTGGGGTGGCAAACATGGTGAATCTCCAGGTGTTGATGGACTACAACTCCCATCATCTATGACCATTGGCCATGCCGGCTGGGGCTGACAGGAGTTGAAGAACAGCAACATTTGGGAGCCAAAGGTTCCCCATTCATGATCTACAAAGTCACTGAGTATTTTAAAGCCATCAGCTGTCATACAGTTTTAAAATGGTGGATTCATGAAATCCCTTGTTATGGCACCACACAAAAAAGTATCATGTTTTCTCCTGTTGTTCCACCAAAGAGAAGAGGCAGCATACATCCTCCATCACTATTTTATCCTCACAACAACCTTATGAAGCAGGTTAGACCAGGCTTCCTCGGCCCTCCAGATGTTTTTGGCTACATCTCCCATGATCCCTAGCTAGCAGGACCAGTGGTCAGGGATGATAGGAATTGTAGTCTCAAAACATCTGGAGGGCCGAGGTTGAGGAAGCCTGGGTTAGACTGAGGGATCACAGAACTGTAGAGTTTGAAGGGATGCTGAAGATCATCTGGTCCAACAAAGGAATATGCAGCTGTTCCATATGGGGATCAAACCTGCAATATTGGCGTTATCAGCACCATGGTCTAACCTCACAACAAGGAAGGATAGAGGCCAGTCCTAGGTCACCAGTGAGCTTCATTCTTGAGTGGGGACTTAGACCCAAACCTCCTTGCTTTTAGTCCAATATACCAGACTAGTGCCAAGACTCACAAGGAAGGCAATATTGTGAACAGATCCAGCTTGTCTCGAACACTCCCACATAACAAACTGAGATTCAGAAACAACTACCAAGGTCTCCATGTGGTAGAGAGAAAACTGTCCTGCCACAACACTCTAGCCATCAACACTTTTACAGTTTTCACAATCCTACACGTGCCTGTCAAAAAGTAAGTGAGTTCAAGGATGCTTACTCACAGGTAAGTAGGAATAAGATTGGAGCCTTAGTGATCACGCGGGGCCTATCATGAACATTTTGACAAGTTCCTTTCTAGGTTTGTTCTACTCCCTAACATTTCGAATTGGGCTAGGATCTCCTCACAAAAACACTCAACTCCTACTTTCCCACACCAATGTGTCTTAAACCCAAATACATGTTCATTGTTATTCCTGGTCCATCTGCAGCAAGGATGGGGGAAATGTGGTCCTCCATAAGCTGCCGGACTACAATTCCCATTATCCTTGACCATTAGCTATGAATGATGGGGCTAATGGGAGTGGGAATCTAAGATCTACAGAAAAGGGCAATGCAAGATTTTAGACAAGTGAGCTAGGGCCAGGCAGCTAAGAACAGCAGCTGAATGCCCTGAAACTGAATCTTTACCATGCACTCATCAAGTGGCCTTAAAAGCATATTTTCTTTCTTTCTTTCTTTCTTTCTTTCTTTCTTTCTTTTCTCTCTCTGCCTCAAATCTGTGCCAGCAGCACAAGACAGTTGTAATAGCTAGAGCAGGCATAGGCAAACTCAGCCCTCCAGATGTTTTGGGACTACAACTCCCATCATCCCTGACCATTGCTCCTGTTAGCTAGGGGTGATGGGAGTTGTAGTCCCAAAACATCTGGAAGGCAAAGTTTGCCTATGCCTGGGCTAGAGCAAAGTTTCCCAAACTTGGGTCTCCAGCTGTTTTTGGACTACAACTCCGATCATTCCTAGCTAGTAGAACCAAGGGTGATGGGAACTGTATTCCAAAAACAGCTGGAGACCCAAGTTTGGGAAACTCTGAGTTAGGGTGAAGTGCTTAAGAAAAAAGTGGTAAATATTATTAAGTGCCCGCAGTATTTTCAGGTCATTTTCAGCTCTGGATTCAAAAGGTCCCCAAGCATGTCAAATTAACAAATATAACTTCTACAGATGGTCTTATCTCAAAATGGTTCGACTGACATCTTATTTCAGAGGATGCTGCAAAAGAAAGTGTGGCCCTATATACAGAGAGCTCTCCATTGGTAAAGCGATAATAAGGGGATAATAGGTGAAGAGCAATCTTTTCCAATCCAAATCACAGAGGGGAGTAAATTTCAGTTTTGTATCCCCACCAAGTTGGTCCAATAAAGGGAGCCATTATGTAGGACAAACAAGGCAGCAACATAACAATTTATGGGGCAGCCTTTGCCAACCTGCTACCTTCCAGATGTTTTGGACTACAACTCCCATCAGCCATCACAACCATGGTGCCTGAGGAAGAAAGGAGCAAGGAGTCCCAAACATCTGGAGGGCATCAGTTTGGCAAAGGGAGACCAATAGGGATGGACACCTGTGTTTTATATTCTGTACCCTAATCACCATGGACTATTAAAGACTAAATTAGGGATTGACAAAACATTTACAGGATTGCGATCACTGCTCTCAGCCAAACGTTTTAAGAAGGCCTTGTTTATATAGACAGCACCACCTTTAAGCACACAGAATCCAAACGCCTGGAATCCAGACTAAGTTTGCCAGATGTTCCTCATTTCAAGCCATCACCCCTTACTCCAGATGCCTGCTCTACAGAACATTAAAAAGGGACACCCCTTATTCGACCACTTCCATAACATTCCACAGAAGAGACATCACAGAGGCAGACCACATCCCTCATTCTGAAGAAATTCAGCTTGGCAACCCCGATCCGCTCAGGCTCCCATGGCCTGCTGTTTGTTCAATTCTAAGACAGTCACTTGCTCAAAATTGGAGTCACTTGTGAGCAACTTGGGAGGCGCAGGGTGGAGTGAGGGAGGGAGAGAGGGAAGGGAAGTCTTTCTTTAAGGCCTAAACATAAAAGAGAGAAACTTTTGGGGGGTTTTTAAAAAAAAAAAAATCACCAAGCCACTTGCAATGAGATCGGAGGAGGCATCAGGCCTGAGTTAAGTGAGCAGCCTGGTAGTCTTAATGAAAAGCAGCACTTCCCCTAGTAGTAGTATTCTGGTCCCTTTGTTTCCATTTGCCCCGGTTACCCACTTTCGACCTCTTCAGTAGTAGTCTTCACTCAGTTCTCTCACAAACAAGTCCTCCCACCCTCCCCTTAACTCCCCTCCTGCTGTGTTGCATTCCTCCATTTCACTGGCAAGGGGAAAACATGAGCCCTTGCGAAGGCTTAAGCAAAGAAAGGGGCTTGGGAAGGGGAGAGAGAGAGAGAGAGAGAGAGAGAGATGGAGGGAGAGACAGACAGACAGCCCTCTTCAAGTTATGACGGCAAACAGCATGACTGAAGTTCTAGGCCTCCACATCTCAAGCTGACCTTTGCAGGAGGCCTCGCTGCAAAAGACTCAGGTATTTAAGCGCAGCTGGGAACACATTCTTTCCCAAAGCACACAAAGATATTTCAGTGGGAAGATCAAGACATTCAAAAGATGAAGGAAGGGAGCGGGGAAGAGAAAAGAAAAGAAAGAAAGAATGGGAGATAACCAAAGAGTGACAGAAGACGGTAGGGGGGGAAAATCAGATCCTTCAGATCTTCAAGACAGATCAACCCCACATGTTTCCAGTTGAAAGTTACTCTGCAAAAGGGGGGGGGGGAGAAAGCAAGGGGAAGCAGGATCCAAATGTTGTACCTTTAAAAAACAAAAACTTATCTATGTTTGTAAAGTTCCCGTGACATTCTTAAGGCAGCTATTGGGGTTTTTTTTTTGGTCTTTCAAGGAAGTGGGGTGGGAGTGGGGGAAGGATAAAGGCTTTACTTTTTATTACTGTCCTTGAAACAGCTTCATGTCCTGCTCTAACAAAACGCAGGCCCATTAGGGCTTATTGTTGTAAGGTATCTGGTTGCAAGATGCTCACCATCTGTACAGAACCAAGCCTGCTCCTTAAGTGGATCCTACAGACCTTCCTTTTAAAGTGCATGTCATGCTGCTACGTCCTTAATCGTGCCGCCTGTTAGTTTATGTTTACATGTCATCCCTATGGGAAGGTTAAGGGGAAGCTCTTCCATACTGTAAGGCAGCCACTTGAGAGAGAGAGAGAGAGAGAGAGAGAGAGAGAGAGAGAGAGAGAGAATCTCCAAAATCTTTTTGGAAGAGCTCAACTTCCTAAGCTATGCCGAACTTTTGGAAAAGTCCTGCTCCAAAGTTCAACGGATCTATAAATCACCTTAAACTAGTCAGCAGAAACTCAAAGCACAAGAAATTACCAAGACATTTAGCTAGCAAAATGCCATTCCCCCACTCCTCAGAACTTATACAATCATATCATTAAACAATAAATTTCTTTTTATTTAAAAAAAAAATATCACAGTTTGCCCAGTTAAAACAGATCTGTACAGAAAATCCCCACATACATTAAGTAAACCAATTAGGGATGTTTTCATAGCCACTTTTTTTTTAAAAAAAAAGAAAGATCTTGACCACACTACAAACTTAATTGTAGCCAGATGCTATCAAGCTGCCTTAAAGGAGTTTTAATTCCTGTGTGAAGCAGAGTCTCCGGTGTAAATTTCTACATGGACTCTCTTTTTCTCTCTCTCAAAAAAAGTGCCTCCACAGGACACAGTACTGACAAATGTTTTCCACAATCATGTAGCAGTTCCCCTTCAGCTTCAAGGAGAATGTCTCAAGTTTCTCAAACTACTACCACTTATACTGATAAAAATGGTACTTGTTTGTTACTCCCTGTGCTGTGTTGGGGAGCAGGCCTGTGTCATAGACAAAGCACACAGAACTTATCTTTCCAGGTGTCTTTTGTGGGTAGCCCTGCAAGAAAACCCCCCAAAAACCCAACAACACCCTGAACAGCACAGCTGTTTTCTCCTCTGTGATTAGCCTCTAGCCTTATAAGTAGCCTCAGATCTTGGTTTTTCAACCAGAGTAATGGAAAGTCTATACAGGGAGCCTTGTAAATTAGGAAGCTAAGCTTTGCTGCACTGCAGTTGGCATTCCACAGGTGTTCAGGTGGGTTATCAGAGGTATATGAAGAAAGCTCTGGATTGCTCTCACTGCTGTTGAGAAAACATCATGTGAATCTGCAGCCACATTGTCTGGCAAATGGTTTTTGGTCAGAAACATTGTGTTTATAATTTTCAGGGGAAGCAAATATGTAGCTTTCATCACACTACTTTGCCAAAAAAACAAAACAAAACAAAAACCCAATTGCTTGGTGTGTGCAAGCACACACACATGTACACATTTGTCTTTCTCCCCTCCTGGCTTAATTTTATTATGATAACTGAAGCCATCTCGGTTCCAACACCATCCCCCACAAATAAGTGCCAATCTGCAAAAGTGGGCCATCTGCTAGCTATAGCCCCATGTGGTGGGAAGGCGAGCTTCACTAACTTTACAAGAGAAAACTTAACAGCAGAGAGGCTACCTTATTGGCTGCTATGATATATGAGTGTGCCGTAAGAGGGCAGTTTTGTGCACATTAACTTTTGTGTGATACATTCAGAATCCAATGTAAACAAAAAAAAATTTCAATTTCACTTTTGTTGCACTGAACTGCCCAAAGTGGAAGAGCATCAAGATCCTCATTCCAAGGAAGCAATTAATACACAAAGCAGCCCTGAGAAAGAGGGGAAGACACCTAAACCAAGTCCGAAGTGTTTGTTTTGACTCGGGGAAATCCCAAATTCATAAAAATACCTTATAACACATACAGCATGAGGATGTGATTGGGGTAAAGAAAGTGTGTTCGCCACACCTAACCTAGGAGCAGAAAACAGCCAGGGGAGGGAGACAAATAGGCTTCACACTCCTCATTAAAGCTTACATGCTAAAACAACCTCCAATTAATATTTTTTTAAAAAGTTTGGTTACCTACAGGTCCGGAAAGATGAAGACACATTGCAGACACCAGCCAAGGGGAAAGGGGATTCACCTGTCAACTGCTAGCAGACTAGGCAAATAACAGCAACTCATCCACAAGCTGAGAAAACTACTGGACTTTAATATCTTTGAGACAGGAGGAGAAGCAATGTCTGGTGACCACTGGCTTGGGGGGAAAGGCTTCTCAGCTAGTTCCCTTTGGTAACAACAATGAGATTCTAGTCCAGAAATTGCTAAGAGCAGCACCTCTAACTGGCAAAGGACTTGGCAGCCTTTACTGAGACCATGCCTCCCCTCCCCTATGGGATATTATTCCCATTTCATAGCTGAGGAACTGAGTCTGAGTCCTACCGACTTGCCAAAGACCACACAAAGTGTCCATGGCAGGCAGCAGTGGAACTGGAACCCGGGTTCAAGCCCAAGCTCTCAGTTCAGTTACATACAAGAATCCAGTCAAGGAACTGAGTCTGAGACCTACCGACTTGCCAAAGACCACACAAAGTGTCCATGGCAGGCAGCAGTGGAACTGGAACCCGGGTTCAAGCCCAAGCTCTCAGTTCAGTTACATACAAGAATCCAGTCAAGGAGACCAAAAAAAAAGGAGAAGCAACTTCTTGCCTTTTTGGAGAACAGCGCAGCACAAAGTACATATCTGCTTAAAAGGAAGGTTTTCAGCATAAAACCATAGAATTGTAGAGTTGGAAGGGACCCCAAGGATCCTCTAGTCCAACCCCCTACAATGCAGTTGCCCCATACAGGGATCGAACTTGCAACCTTGGCATTATCAGCACCATGCTTCAACCAGCGGAGCTATCCAGCTCCATCAATATATGCCTAATCAAAAGCATGCATGAATTGGGTGGGCTGAAGGTTCAAATGAAGTTTCCTCACCTGAACAGAAAGTTACCTGCTTGGTGTTTTTCAGAGTGGCACTGACATTAATAGCTCCATGCCTTCTGCCACCTCAGTGTCAACAGAGTTTAGACATGCCAATGCCTTCTACAGTGTCATCTCAACTTGGGGAGAGTGTTAGGTGTGTGCAGGGGTGTGTGTGTGTGTACACACACACAAAACCCCCCACCACCACATATACACATGCACATATAAACACTGTTTGATCCGGGCAACAGCAAATATGGTTGTCAGGCTCATGCAACTGGTACAGTTCAGAGGTTGTGAAAGAAAATTGGCTTGCTAGGGCTTCAAACTTGAAAACTTGCCTTTACCACAGAAAGATACTGGGGCAAACAGAGGCTTGAGCAAGCATATACCTCCACAGAGATTAAAACAAACGGGTAACACACACTGATGCCATTTGTACAGCCAAGAACTAGAAGAAGCCCCTCGCCTATCTGGAGCCCCCGCAGATTTGCCCTGGTGTGAGTGAAAGCCAAATTAGAACCAGCTGCCTTTCCAACCCTATTGCTGGAAAAGACCATAAACACTGCTGCAAGCTAGAAACACAACAGATGCAATTCAAGAACCCTCCTCTTAGAGGCAGGCCATAGTTGAAACAAGCTGAAAACAGAAGAGATGCCTGAAGCCCTTTGATGTCCCATGAATCACAGAAACACTCACAAAAATTCCTGTAAACCAGATGTCAAATACTTACCAGACTGAGAAAGAAACTCCCAAAGCAAGAGAGAGAATACACAGAACAGAGGGGAGAGGGAGAGAGCAGGTCCTTCTGCTCTATAGATCCTTGTTCAACCAAATCCCATTTATGAAGGGGAAAGGGAGGGGAGAAAGAGAATAAGGTGTCAGAAGATTATACCACTCTGTCACGATTAAGATAGAGAAAGAATACGCTGGTGTTGCCATTTTGTGAGAAACTGGTCTTGCCCACTTTCATCAGCCTATGCCACCAAAGAAGGGTCTCATATCACTCTCCTGGGGTACTGAATTGGGAATAGGACCACCTTTTAATGCAGCTTGAATTCCATTAACTAGGAAGGGCTGTCAGTCAATGGTAGAGTGCATGCTAAAAGGCCTAGGTTCATCTCCAGGTCAGGCTAGGAAAAGTTCCTGGCTGAAACTCTGAAGAGCCACTGTCAGTCACTGTAGACAGTTCTGAGCCTGAGAAACTAAAGGTCCAACTCAGTTCCTATATACCTGGAGCACACACCTCTTTTACTCAGTGGTTGGAATTCTGCCCCTAACACTAATGTCCCATACCTGAAGCCATCTCATTGGCCAAACAGATTTCCTTTGGCTTAAAGACACGATAGCAAGCCACACAAGGTATTCTCCAAGAATACATGTATTTCATGTCTCCTTGTAAGTTACAAAGTTCAGTCACACGGGCTGCCGCAGTAATAATATGGATTTTCTTGTTCCATCATCACATAATTGCTTCCCATTTTCTATATGTAATCCACATATTTCGACACTAGCTGAGGATGAAGCTGGCAAACTAGTATTTCATTACTCATTCACATGCCTAGATGGTGCTCTTCCCAGCTCCTCTTAATGTGGTTTAAAGTGGTAACAATTAACGCATGTCTCAAAGAACAAGAGTCGCTTTGAAGTTCTTTTTTGATGTCTAAGAGAGCTTTAGGAACTGGTGGGTCTTAAGAACCACAATGTACTGCTTTCTTTATTATGGAGAAAGACAGCCCTCCCCACCAAGCCAGAAATAAATGCCAAGTTGTTAAGGTTCATTAAAAAAAAAAAAGTATCTTTGCCAAAATCTACTCCAAAGGACAAGCATGTGCACATATACCCACTTTGCAAGATTTGTTTAAAGGAGCAACAGACTCTCAAAAAGTCATTCAAAGCAAGTTATCTTACCTGAACCCATTCTCCACAGTTTCTGTAGCCCGGACACTTGCTGTAGCCCTCAATGCCTTACTGGATAGCCCTAGCACGGATGGCAAAAGTTTGTTCTTAAAGTCTGCACAGCTCCACTCCTCTTCTTCATTCAAGGTAGGGAGATAGCCACAGTCAACTTTTAAGCTCCCCAGTCCATTGCTGTTAATGTAAGCAGGATTTTCTCCCCCACTCCTTACATATTCGAGGTATATATCAGAAGTTAAAAACATCTGGTAAGCATTTTCCTCCATCACTGTCTGAATCTCAGTCTGTGCCTGATCAAACATTATAGAATCGATCTGCTGCTTCTTGATATTATCCCTTATGTAGGTCTTAGTGGCAGGCTTGAGCTGTTTGGAGACAATGCTGTTGTTCTCAATGTACCGTTTGTATATAGCTTTGGCTACTCGTAAAGTTTTGGTATCCTTAAGGTCCATCTGCCTGAAGCCATTGCAGGCAAACCAGAAGTCCAAAGTATCCACACATTTTTCTCTTTCCAGGAAGGTCCGGAAGAGATAGGCACCATCTTGATCCCCCAGTAAGGAATGCAAGGATTTGGTCCATCGTGCTAGAGGAGAGTCTGGGAATGCGCTGCCTTCTGGCTCCCCAAGGCCATCTTCATTTCTCCTTGGCGTGGAAGAAACTGACATGGCCTTGAAGCTTTGGTTTTTCATGGCAAACAAAGTGGCAGCCAGGTGGCATGGTGTCTCTCCTTCTTCCCCTGGTACAGGGGGGCGTGGGGCATCTTCTCTGAAGCTGCTGCTGGGGTCTGGGAGGTGAGTCAGCAATGCTGCGCTGCTCATGGTTCCGGGAGTCCCTTCTGGCAGGACTTTTTCTTTTTAAGTTCCTCAGTAATCTGTATGTGTGTTGTCTCTCTCCCTCTCTCTTTTCTTCCTCAAGTCAGCAGGGGATTCTTCAGAGTCTTCTCTCTTGAAGGGAAAAAAAAGGAAAAGAAAGAGGGGGGGGAGTATTGATCTAATCAAAACCAGATCCACCCAACATCAAAGACAAAAAGTAAACAGGCTTTTCAACTCCTCACATTAAAATAAAGAGGCAACCGCAGCTATCTGCAGTGCTAATCAAAAGTATCAGATACGCTTTTCAAAGAGGAAGATTGAACTCTGGGCACACTTTTAACTTTGGTGTGGAGGGAGCAAAAGGAGTGGGGGCGGAGGCAAAAACAAAAATGAAGTCTTAATTATTGCATTGCCTATAAAATCAAAACACGCAAAAGAAAAGAAAAGAAACCCCCCTGTGAACCTTTCCCTCCTACTAATGATAACATCTGAGAAGTCCCAGGAACAATACTGGATCCCTTGTGTTGTTAAACCTATTTTGTGTGCAAGCACACACACACACACACACACACACACACACACACACACATCCTTCAAAATTTTGCCTCCCTCTCTTTCTTCAGTAGATAACTCAAAGCAAAGAACAAAACGTGCTTTCCTCAGCATCTGGTTTCCATTTCTCTGCCCCCCCCTCCTCCAAAACCCTTCAACTCCTTAAACATTTAGATTATGATCACCAGAAACCCTTCTAAGCACAATGCTGGATGCTCCTCTGAAAAAAACAAATGGCATATTGAGAAAGTGTTTAAAAGAAAATGGGGGGGGGGAGAATCTTGACCACAGTAGTGTTTTAGTTTAAAAACTAGGTCTGTCTGACTCATTTCTGATCAGTTGCCTACAGCCTTCAAAGGCATCTCATGGACTTGCTTAAGTTATACCATTCACATGTTAAAGACATCCACATGTTTAAAAACTTCCAACCACTTGGAAGCAAAGGATTCCAATTCTCCCTCCCCACCACCACCACCACCTCCCTTGCTCGGGTTGTCATGCACTTTTTCTTCTCAAACTTAGCCAGTTTCCACCATTAAAGATGGATTAATAAGATCTTGAGAAGTTTTGTGGCTTCTTCCAAACATCCTTCCTTAGTTCACTCGGGAGAAAATGGGATTGCAAAGACTTCAACCAGTTTATTTAAACACACACACATACACAAAACCAACCAACATCCAATTTTAAAAAGTTGGTTTATGAAGTTATGTGAAGAGTTCAGAACTACTCATAAAATGACATTTCTCCACACCACCACCTCACGACAGGAGTGGAGATTTTAAACGCCTGCTTGCCTTTACAACAAACAAATACAAACTACTGCCAAGAAAGTATTTTCCCCCTCTCTCCTGTAATGTACCTGAACGCGTGCAGAAATTCCAAGCCCGGCTGTTATATTCTCCGGCTCCCCCCATCAAAGAGAGTGAGCGAGTAAGAGGGCGACTGGTGGGGGGAGGATTTAAAAGAAGACATTGTAGTCCAGCGAGCTGCTAAAATGCAACCCTTAAGAGGGGGGTAAAAATAAAAGAGGGGGGTGGTAAGTAACCCTCCAGAAATGGCGACTGACTGGAGGGGAGAGGGGGGTGGAAAGGCCGAGAGATCTCAGGAACCGAGAAGAGGAATTGGGAAGGTGAAGGTGGGTAGAGCAGGGGGGGAAGAGAAGTCTTAAGCCAGTTGCTTTCTCCGAGCCCTGTGCAACAACTGACCCCTAAGTAAGCCTGCAGCGCCTCTTTGGAGTTCGCAGGGGGTGCCGAGAGAAGTGGGAGGGGTGTAAAGGAAGAGTTGGGGGGGGGAGGGAGAAGAGGCAGGGAGTCCTCGCATCCTCGCTGCATCCCTGCCTCCCCGGCACATAAAGAAATGCACATCCTTGATCTCGACCTCCCTTCCCAATCGGAAAAGTCCAAATCTGAAAATGAACCCTTCTTTCCCCCCACACCCACGCACACACCTTACCGGGATATCTGCAATTGGGGTGCGTTGGTTGGAGGTGGGGGGGGGGGCTTGTCCTGTGCAAGACCCCACTCCTTCCCCAGATCTCTCCCGTCTCTCGAACACACACAAACGCAACACACACACACACACCTCTGCTGTTTATTATTGTTCGCGTACAAAACCCTCGCCTATCGCCTCAACCGAGCCCTGCCTGCTCATAACTAACGCATAAATAGCTTTCCTTAACAACTTCAAAGCTCAAGCCAAGAGGACATCAAAGCGATCGGGAGAAAGCGGGCGCGCGGGGGGGGGGGGATAGAGAAACAGGCAAGCAAGCAGCTGGGGAATCGCGTACATTCTTGTGCAACTTACCATTGATCCAGTAGTTTTTAGTGGGTCCTTTTTCCCTTCTCTCTTCTCCTTCTCTTTTTCTTTTCCCGCCCCCTCCGTAAACGGGCGCTCGGTACTTCCTTTAAAAAAAAAACCCACCTCCTTTAGCCTTCCCACCCCCCCTTCTCTCTCTCTCTCTCCCTTTACAGAATGAAGAAAAGTAATCCGCAGCGTTGCGCCGATTCCCCCTATATTTTCATCACCCGCCTCCTCTCATGCTTCATAATAGCATCTGAGAGTTTAAAAGGGGGGGGGAGCGGAGGGGGAGAGAGAGAGAGAGCAGGACATTGCACGCGAAACGTATCAGCGGAGAGAGGGAGAGAGGAGTTTCAGCATGATCCTCTCCCTTCCTTCACGCCCCGCTTCTTCTTTAAGCCAAAAGGAAAAGGGAGAGGGGAAAAAATAAATATATATATATATATCAAAAGACCTGATCCCTCCCCCACTTCTCCTGACCCCCCACCCGCCCCCCTTCTTTCAACTCAGGTCCTGTTTCAAGCAGTCATTCCATGCACCAAATGTCCTCCGGGCTATTCCAACAAACACTGAGCTGTGGGTTTAACTGTGCACATCAAAGTGAACAACCGAGAGAACGGTCCTGTAAGGGAGATAAGCGTCCTTTTTTTCCGGCAACACCTTCCGCCTTAAAATAAAATAAAATATATGTATGTGCGTGTCTCTATCTCTGTGTGTGTGCATCTGTAAAGGTATACAGTTCTTACTATCGCAAGATCAACCGGCATTACGTACTGGCATTGCTCGGCAGCTACAGGGACTAATTATTCCCCCACACTTTGGATGGTTTTTCTTTCTTTCTTTTTTATTTTACTCCGAAGCGCTTAGATTATTATTATTATTATTATTATTGCTTCTTGAGTTGCTACCAAGTTGCCAGGACCTTATCAAAGGGAAACAATCTCTAGCCAACTCCCCCAGGCTTTGGAACGTCAGAAGTAAGTGATCCTGCCGCCCCAATCGTATTATCCCTGCAATTCTCTCAGTGCTGCAGGAACCTTAAAGGGACAGGCAACATTCCCTCCTCCCGGTTCTGCCAGCTACACTCCCTTGACTTTAACCCGTTCGTTGCTCAATCAACTTAGCCCTTTCTTTGCAAACTATCCTTTCCCCCCCCACACACACACCTCCAACACACCGCCCCTCCTTCACCCCATGAGATAAATATCAATTGCTGTTTGAACTCTCTTCCTTTTATTTTCCCATACAATGCAGAGCAACTGCTGTATTGCTCTTTTGGAGAGGGGGCGGGCGGCGCGGGGGGGGGGGCGGGGAGAGGAGGGAGGATGGAATGATCAACTTTAGTAGTGCAAGACTGTGATATCATTTTGCGGTAAAGTCCCCCACCCCACCACACTCCCGCGCGCTTCCCCCCCCCGCCTTTTCTTCTTCTTTAAAGTTTCATGTTAGAAGAAAATTGGCCTTTTCCTTTTCCTTTCTTTTTTATTCTGCATCTTAACTAAACAATATCTGATTGTAATATAACTGGCACACCAACAAAACTCTGTTCCCCCACCCCCCATATGTTAAATATTAAACAGACACGGAATGCTTTAGAAAAGACTTTAGACAAAAGGTTCTAATTAGAGATTGGATCTGGCGTGCAGGTTTCGGGCCAATCCATCTCCCTTCCCCCACTACACTCAGTCCCCTTATGAAGTCTGGGTCTGTTGTCTTTTAGAGCTTTTTCGTTTTTTTAAATTTTATTTTACGGGCAGTCTCAGAACACGGAAATCCAAAACCTCTGAACTTTATGGAAGTTCCAGTGCCATAATGCATCTGAACTCAGCGGTTCCAGTCTGTTTTTCCTCTTCGTTTAAATTACTCCTTTATGCGCGCGCAGGGGTGCGAACAGGCGCGCGGGCACACACGCACACACATATACCGTATACACACACTTTTCTTGTCTTCATCTATTCTACGTGCTTATTTTTAAGGGATTTAATTTTTTAATTACATTTACAAAACAAGCAAGACTAATAAGCATGAATAAAACTTGGCCACCGGGGTATTCTCTTCCCATCCCCCTCAATAGTGGAAAGATGGTCTTTAATCATATTACTATAATTAGTTTTTATCATACAGCCCAGAGACCCAGCCCATTGTGCTAGGAGCTGTACAAAAACAGGGGGAACCACAGGACCTTTTTTCTCTCTCTCTAAGGGAAGGTACCATAAAAAATCTAGGTGGTTTGCAGCCTGATCCTCAGTCCTACTACAGCCTAATGGAATTACTCCCAAGTAAATGTGCCTGGATTATTGCCACAGGGCAATTAAATGAAAACCATGCACACATTTTTTGGAAGGAAGTGCGGCTAGATGAAGTGGGCCTTTTGTGCATCTTTGCTAATTACTTGGGATAATTTTCATCAAATGCAAGGTACAGTGGTACCCCGGGTTAAGAACGTAATTCGTTCCGGAGGTCCATTCTTAACCTGAAACTGTTCTTAACCTGAAGCACCACTTTAGCTAATGGGGCCTCCCGCTGCCACTGCTGCGTGATTTCTGTTCTCATCCTGAAGCAAAGTTCTTAACCCGAGGTACTATTTCTGGGTTAGCGGAGTCTGTAACCTGAAGCGTCTGTAACCTGAAGCGTCTGTAACCCGAGGTACACATCCACATCATACATTTAAATGCACGTGGTTTCTCCCAGGGAATCCTGGAAGCTTTGGTTTGTAAAGGGTGCTGTAGGTCTGTGAGGGAGTAGACTCCCAGGATTCTTTGCGGGAAGCCATGAGCCTTGAATGTACTATGTGAATGTGTCTCATGCCTCTTTGAACATGGAGCACTGATTCACCTTTCTGTTTCATTGCCACTACAGTGGTACCTCGGGTTACATACGCTTCAGGTTACAGACTCCGCTAACCCAGAAATAGTACCTCGGGTTAAGAACTTTGCTTCAGGATGAGAACAGAAATCGTGCAGTGGCATCAGGAGGCCCCATTAGCTAAAGTTGTGCGTCAGGTTAAGAACAGTTTCAGGTTAAGAACAGACCTCCAGAACGAATTAATTTCTTAACCCGAGGTACCACTGTATATGGGCATCAACTTCGTTCTGTGAGATTTACAGCTGTGGTCTATGCTAGCAGCTTACAGGGCAAGAGGAAGCATTACCCAGGCATCATGGCTGGTTCCATCCCTCGGATCCCCATTGGCTGGGCAGGGAAGGCAAGGCAGGATGCCTAGGAGACAGTATTAAGCAGGCTATTCCCCTGTTGTTGGAGGATGTTTGGCCATTGTCTTGGAAGCTCTTCGAGGACATATGTATGTGGGGGTTTTGAGCATCCTTGTGAAATGTGTCACCAGATCTAAACAACCACCACCACCCTGTGTCCCAGCTATTTACTCAGAGGTAAATGTGCACAAGATCTGTGAATGCATACCCTCCAACATTTCTCCAATGAAAATAGGGACATCCTAAATAATAATAATAATAATAATAATAATAATAATAATAATAAACAGTAATTTTATTATGAATACCCCTCCCATCTGACTGGGTAGCCCCAGCCACGCTGGGTGGCTTCCAACATATATAAAAACATAATAAAACATTAAATATTAAGAAACTTCCCTATACAGGGTTATATAGATATCTTCTAAAGGTTGTATAGTTACTTGTCTCCTTGGCTTTGGGGTCGCATACCCTCCAACATTTCTCCAATGAAAATAGGGACGTGCTTAGGAAAAGCAGGACATTCCGGGATCAAATCAGAAATCGGGATGGCTTCTGTAAATCTGGGACTGTCCCTGGAAAATAGGGACACTTGGGAGGGTCTGTGAATGACTCAGATGTAAGTTTATCTGTGTTATTTTCTTATGGTTTATTTTCATAAGTGCAGATGGGGATGCAATTCCAAAGCACAATTCTAGTATCCAGGCTTTACGTGTCCCAAATACATTCATATAAATGAGCTTATGTGTGTCTAAGTGACCTAAATGGCCATAGTCTTACTAAGACCAAAGGCATCCCTTAAGAGCAGCACTCTTACAGGCTAATGCAAGAACAACAACTCCATCAACGCATCACGTGGCTCTGTGTCAGATTCGGCTACCTTTTTGTGTGAATGCAATTTATGTTAAGTCCCTTGGAAATACACTAAGAACGCATGCAGCCTATAATTAGCCCTCCAGACCAACTTTTATAATTACAAACATTCATTTATTTTGCTATTGGACGCATTTCATGCAGCAACCCGCAACGCAAGCAGCAATCGTGTAGAATGGCTCAACCAGGCCATTGTCGCAGCTCTTGGCCAGATACAAACACTGACTCGCCAATAAAGACAAGTGAAGAACGTTTTGGATTCTAAAAATATAGGGGCGAGAGATTTCTTCTGGAATACTTTTTTTAAAAAATCCGATTTCCTTACTATGCATTAACTTGGGCCAATGGTATAAACTTGAATAAAATATTGGGGGGACCCAGGTAAGCCCCACCCTGCATAATCGATCACATGATTCAGCATGCACACACCATTTGAAGGGCAAAGCCCATCAAAGGGGGGGAGGGCAGGCCCTCAAATACTTTATCGGGGGGCAAAATGTACCTCAGCCCCTAGAAGTTGGCTTGGGCCAAATCCTGACTAAGGTTTAAATAAAATTCAAAGAATTTAACCAACTTGATGTTGATTTCAATCATATACAGTGGTACCTCAGGTTAAGTACTTAATTCATTCTGGAGGTCCGTACTTAACCTGAAACTGTTCTTAACCTGAAGCACCACTTTAGCTAATGGGGCCTCCTGCTGCTGCCGCGCTGCCGGAGCAAGATTTCTGTTCTCATCCTGAAGCAAAGTTCTTAACCTGAAGCACTATTTCTGGGTTAGTGGAGTCTGTAACCTGAAGCGTATGTAACCTGAAGCGTATGTAACCCGAGGTACCACTGTACACCAAAATGGTAAAATAGATTTACACATGTCGGGGCTGCGAGTGGGGCATCTGACGGCTGGCGACAATGTCAGAGGTGTCTGCGATACCTGGCGCCTAGAACTGGGTGTCTTTGGAGTAAATGACAGCGATGGGGAAGGTGTCTTGACATTCCCAGACCAAGACTCGCAGACAGGAGAAAGGCCCTGTCATAGCTGTTCTCCCAGCCTCGGATATTTTGCCAGACTGAAAGATCTGGAGGCAAGGGAAAGGAGACTTCTGTTTACACATCGCCCCGTTCCCAATCTGAATCGATTGTGGGAAGACTCGCATCCAGGTACACGCATGCCTAGAGCACTGCAGCCATACTCCACCCCTTCGCCTGCCGCGGAAGGAAAGGTGCCGCGCGCTGCCTCCCAAACTGCAGTTTGCGTGCCAAACGCAAGCACCTCCCGCCGCCCCATCGAGGGAGCCACAGATCACCGCGTTTGGCAACTCGGCCGCTCTCTCGCACCCCAAGCCGCGCCGATGGGTGTCGCCCAGGCACCTCCCATTGGTCCTTCAGCTAGCTCTTACTCCCCAGCCGGGATCCTCTGATTGGCGGGGAGGCGGCGGCGGACGCACATGCTTACGATTGATACATTAGCAGAGCGCGCGGAGGAGGTGCCGCCCCGCGCTCTCCCTTTATTAATGAATGCTCCGCTCCGCTCTCGGGTGGGCGGGCACATCGGCCATTGTCACAGAGGATGGGCGGGGCTTGAGCGGGTTTGATACTATAGCTTCGACGGGACTCCCGCCTTCGCTTAGGCGAGCTTCAAAAACGCAGGAGGCGCCACGAGGCTCTCTGCAGAGCGAGGGGGATGGGGGCGCATCCTTTTGAAAATGAGGAATCTCGAAACGGAGATGAACAAAGTTTTGCTGGCTTAGCAGCGCTTGTGTGCAAAACTTGCCCCGATGCGGAGCCACACCACATTTCCACTTAAAAACAGCCGCATAGGATAACGCGCATGTATTATCGAGGGTCATTTTTAAAAGCTCTTTCAAAGTACAAAGCAAAGTATTACTTGGATGCTTTATCGTGAAGGGTGCATGAGCACACTTCGTAGGCAACATTTTTCCAGTTCCTTAAAGGTAAAGGGACCCCTGACCATTAGGTCCAGTTGTGGCCGACTCTGGGGTTACAGCGCTCATCTCGCTTTATTGGCCGAGGGAGCCGGCGTACAGCTTCCGGGTCATGTGGCCAACATGATTAAGCCGCTTCTGGCAAACCAGAGCAGCGCACGGAAATGCCATTTACCTTCCCGCCAGAGCAGTACCTATTTATCTACTTGCACTTTGACGTGCTTTTGAACTGCTAGGTTGGCAGGAGCAGGGACCGAGCAACGGCCGCGGGGATTCGAACCGCTGACCTTCTGATCGGCAAGCCCTAGGCTCAGTGGTTTAACCCACAGCGCCACCCGCGTCCAGTTCCTTACATATGTTCAAACGAATGGATTGACGAAGGGGGAGACGGGAGTGCAACTGACTATTCATTTGTATGTGAGCAAAGTTCCCCGGCTGCACAGAGGGTTGGCTTGGCTGCATCCATAGGAGCATGGCACTTAGTTGTGATCAGTCACAAGGGTCTGGGGGGGTAGCCAACATGGTGCCCTCCAGATGTTTTGGACTGCAACCTCTGTCAGCCCCAGCCAGCTGGGGCTGGGCCAATGGCCAAGGATGATGGGAGTCTGCATCATCTGAAAAGCACAATTGGAAATTGTCTACCCTGATCTAATGCTGAATGGTGGGAGACTCGAGGCAGACAAAAGGAAGTACTCTGTCCTCATAGTCAGATGTGCTGACCTTTAGTCAAAATGTTGGTGTTGACCTTTAAACCCCTAAATGGCTTTGGCACTCTGTACCTGAAGGAGCGTCTCCACCTCCATCATTCAGCCCGAACACTGAGATCCATTTCCAAGGGCCTTCTGGCTGTTCCCTCACTGCGAGAAGTGAAGTTATGGGGAACCAGCAAGAGGGCCTTCTTGGCAGTGATGCCATTTCTGTGGAACGCCTTCCCATCAGATGTCAAGGAGATAAAGAACTACACAGTCATCTGAAGGCAGCCCTGTATTGGGAAGTTTTTAATGTTTTGTTATGTTTTTATATGTGTTGGAAGCTTCCCAGAGTGGCTGGGGCAACCCAGACAGGTGGGGTATAGATATTATCATTATCATCACTACTACTACTTGCTAGTGTGCTGAACTGGTGTTCAGTTTTTCAGTAACATCAGTTGGGCTTGGTAGCATATTTTTATTGTAACCCGTGCTGGGATTTCTTTGTTAACCTCTGGAGAATCATGATCCACAGGACTCATGTCACTTCAGCACTGCATAGTCTACACAGGTTTTCTAATTTAAAGGTTCCACTTTGGATTTCTATAATCCTAAACAGGCCATCCACAAGGATCAGCTTGGATAGCTCAGTTGGTTAGAGTGTGGTGCTGATAATGCCAAGGTTGCAGGTTTGATGCCTGTAAGGGACAGTTGCATTGCAGGGGGTTGGACTAGGCTAGAGGATCCTCAGGGTCTCTTCCAACTCTACGATTCTATGATCTATGAACCACATTTCTTCCTCTGCATGACTGCAATTGTTAAGGCCGACTGAAGGTACCACAGTTATGGCATTATTCATGCATGCAAACCATGTGACAAGAGCATTCGCATAGGCCTGCTTGGTGGCTGCTCCACAACTGGACCTCCCTCCCTGCAGAAGTCCTGCAAGACACAAAAGCACTCCAAGGGAAGCCTCACACATCTTTCCAAGTAAGTTTCCTTCTCATTTGCCAGTGTGGTGTAGACTGTGTAAACACAAAGCCTTTGAAATGCACAGGGGTCATTTTTCCCTCCACAGGGCGCTTTTTGTACTATAGTAGATCTGTTGTGGTCTGTGGGAGAGTTTAACAGTGAGGATGACTGCTATGGTTGGAGATGAAACAAAACAACGGATTGAGCTGAAAAGGGTAAACACAACAGGGGTATCCCAGATGCTTTATAGAGACCATTTCGTGATCCTGTCTCTGCGTAACCTCTTCCCGTCTTTGCCAGTTTGGAGCAATATCAACTCTTACCAACAAAACCATACAATAATTTGTAACGCTTGGGGCATGTGCACTGCTAAAAGCTAGGCTGATGGACTAGATAAGGAAATGCAGGAACAAGTAGCCCTTTCATGCTTTCCTTCATGCTTGAAAGTCAAGAGTTTCCTAAATTTCATCATCTCTGTAATTACACATAGATGCCCTTCTTGTTAGGCCTAGAGGGAAGCCGATAGACACGTAGCTTGTACAAGCAGCATGGAAGTTGGATATCTTTGACTTTCCATCCGATTCTCCAGTCTGCCAATGGAAATGAATTCCCAGATCGAGCAGATGGCAAAATTAACAATTCATATTTTGCTTCTTTGCCTGTCACCTATTCATTAAGGCAGCGAAAGTGATACAAGGCAGCAACTTAAAACCTAAAACTGACCCAAATAACCTTGCCCCACTCTCCCAATGGTACACCCTCAGTTTACTGTTGCTGTTACACACGACGTACACACGTCTTACGTGTGAGTTTCTGCTTATCATCCAAAAGCAATAGTTTGGGGGGGGGGCGCTCACTGTCCAAAAAGCAACCGAAAGTAAAGCAGAATCAAAGAAGGAAATGATTCCGAAATGTCTGATTCAGAAGCCAATGCAGAAAAAAATATGCAAGAAACTTTTGGGTGAAGTCAGACATATAAAAAGAGCACACAGCATGTTCCTCTGCGGTGGGATAAGACCGGTTTCCTTCCCAGTTTGCTACTGACAGGATCACACTTCAAAACGACCTTGACAGATTAGAGAACTGGGCAAAAACAAACAAGATGAATTTTAACAGGGAGAAATGTAAAGTATTGCACTTGGGCAAAAAAAATGAGAGGCACAAATACAAGATGGGTGACACCTGGCTTGAGAGCAGTACATGTGAAAAGGATCTAGGAGTCTTGGTTGACCACAAACTTGACATGAGTCAACAGTGTGACGCGGCAGCTAAAAAGCCAATGCAATTCTGGGCTGCATCAATAGGAGTATAGCATCTAGATCAAGGGAAGTAATAGTGCCACTGTATTCTGCTCTGGTCAGACCTCACCTGGAGTACTGTGTCCAGTTCTGGGCACCACAGTTCAAGAAGGACACTGACAAACTGGAACGTGTCCAGAGGAGGGCAACCAAAATGGTCAAAGGCCTGGAAACGATGCCTTATGAGGAACAGCTAAGGGAGCTGGGCATGTTTAGCCTGGAGAAGAGGAGGTTAAGGGGTGATATGATAGCCATGTTCAAATATATAAAAGGATGTCACATAGAGGAGGGAGAAAGGTTGTTTTCTGCTGCTCCAGAGAAGCGGACACGGAGCAATGGATCCAAACTACAAGAAAGAAGATTCCACCTAAACATTAGGAAGAACTTCCTGACAGTAAGAGCTGTTCGACAGTGGAATTTGCTGCCAAGGAGTGTGGTGGAGTCTCCTTCTTTGGAGGTCTTTAAGCAGAGGCTTGACAACCATATGTCAGAAGTGCTCTGATGGTGTTTCCTGCTTGGCAGGGGGTTGGACTCGATGGCCCTTGTGGTCTCTTCCAACTCTATGATTCTATGATTCTATGACGTGACTGATAAGCATATCAGTGAATTAACACACTGATTTTACTGCCTCTGCCCACCACCCTCTAACTTTAAAAAAAAAAAAAATTAAACATGGCTGGATGAATGCTCTATCTTCTCTTTCATTCCCATATAAATTAGAGAAGAAACTATTTTTATAATGCAGATCTGCACTGGGGATTGTGGGGTGTTTCTGATGATATGATAGGAATCATAGAATTGTAGAGTTGGAAGGGACTACGTGGGTCATCTGGTCTAACCTCCTTGCAATGCAGATGAATCTTTTGCCCAACATGGGGCTCAAGCCCATATCCCTGAGATTAAGAGCTTCATGTTGTACTGGCTACATAGGAAGTTGCTTTCTACTGAGACAAAACTATTGGTGCATTCAGCTCAATGTTGTAAACCAGGCATGTCCAAAGTCCACATGGGGCCTAATCTGGCCTGTTGGTTGGTCTAATCCGGCCCCTGTGGCAGTTTATTTCCTGGGGTAAAATCCTAAAAAAAAACCTCAACAACTTCAATCATAAAAAGTCAACAACTTTGGTTGGCCCTTCGGTCGCCCCCCACGGCCCTTCACTTCATCAAATCTGGCCCTCTTTGAAAAAAGTTTGGACACCACTGAATGTAAACACTGGCTGGCAGTGCTTCTCCAGGATTTGAGACAGGGATCTTCCCTAACCCTAATTGCTGCTGCCTGGGTGCTGGAAGAAAGAAATACTTCCTCCATGTTGGGAGGCCCATTTCCACCTGGCCTAGGGGCAGGGCCCAGACTCACCCTGAACAGCTAAAAAAGGCTCCTGGGAGGCAGGAGGGACATTGCTGGAATAACTCTTAGTTTGCGCCAACTGGCTAAAATGTTTCTAAAATGTTTTAAATGGCACTAATTTTGGTTCTTCTGTCTTGTTTTTTGTCGGGTTGGTGTTGATTAACTGTTTAGTTGGTGCTGGTGGTTATTTTAATTTGGGCATAACTTTAAACTGTTTGTTGTTGTTATCGATTTCTGTTGATTTATTG